TAAAAGCTCTCCTTTGCATTCTGCATTGAGCAGGACTTAAACCGTATGGGAGAGCGTATCTTATGAAAGCTCAACACATAATGCTAAACATTGTGGAAGTTAAATATCCTAGAAACAGTTAACTTTTTCATTCAGTTTCCAGTTTTTTTGTTGAATTGTATCTATGACGTTATTGACCATGTCTTTTAATTAAAAAAGTGCTTTGATCTTAGTTGGACTTTCTTTAGTTAAAAAGTGAAAGGGGCCATATTCTGCTCACTTTCAGGTTCATATTTGTATTTTGTGCTCTTCTTTGACATGTTTACATGCTTTATTGTTCAAAAAGGTCTTTCTTTTTCTCATACTGCCTGTGCTGCAGTGGTGTCCCTCTGGAGGGAACTTTAGGATTTTAGGCTTTGCAGACCATTCACATGCACAAAAACCTATATCACACTACAAGAAAAGGGCAAACCCAAAAAGCATAATAGTGCCTAAATAAACAAAACAAGTTAATGTATTTTTTATTATATTCAAATCACTCCAATGTGTATAGAGCCCTAATGAAGGGGTTTTTAGCCTTGCACAAACAAGGTCTAGAGACACTTGGGCTGGTTGGATTTCTCCTGTTGTTTCTGGCGTCATCTGTGCTGTGTTAAGTAAGATGTAAGTGTCATTTGTTGTCACCATAGGAACCAATCAGTGTGAAGGGAAATCTTGGGCTAATTGAGTGTGTTTATTTGTGAGTATGTTGTGTTCGAGGGAGTAGTTTTTCTGACGCTAATCAAATAGCATTTAAACAGTCCTGGGTTTTTGTCTTCATATAATTATGTGAAAGACTTGTACGTCACTTAAACACTCACACATTCACAATTAGTAGGTTCCTCACTAGAAGAGCTACCTATGGACTAATCTGAAGACTGCCTCGTGCGTTCTTCCAACGGAGAGTCGTTGATACTGAGGGCCCTATTTACTATTTCCTATTGGATAAATGCATCCTACAAGGTAGAAAATGACCAAGCAATGACTTTAGACCAGTATTTTGTTGGTCAATGGAGCAATCACTTTCTGCTACCTGACTAGACCACACAGTAACATCAGCTTCTTGCACAACATGATGAATGATAATATGACAACAACTCCATTCTGAAATGATCAATGACACTGGCACTAATTTGTGCTGGTCATAAAATAGGCCCACACCATGTTATTTGGTTACATATAGGAATATGCCTCGTAGTAACTCCAATCAATGGTTGGCGTAGATAGTAAACAGAGATGAGTATGTTCTTAAAATGTATCAAAGTTTAATTGAAGGCTTTTACGAGGACATCCAGATGTTAAGTTGTTTTTTTCACCGGCTATTGTCACTATGGACGGCCAAAACGCTTGATTAAGAATGTATTTTTGTTGGACCAACGCAGACCCTAGCTGAGCTAATTTAAGTTAGCTAAGCATTGTCATTCAAGCTGACGTACTGTTGGTTGTTTCACAATGTCAGCTATTTAGGCAGCCAAGCTCTGCACAGGTACTCCCCAAACTCAAAGTTCTCAAAGTAACATTGCATAAAAAGTGATGTAAAAGGAAAAAACTATACATTTCAATTCAAGCGTGCACGTATTGTTTGCGAATTATTCGGATTGCTGTATAGGAATAGAAGGGAATAGCGGCAGCTCTTGGTAACTCCAAATTTAGAAAATAAAAGCTAATATTATGAAAGAACTTAAAGCACAAAACTTCCCTATCTTCCCGAAAGCTGCTTTTTTGTGTGCATTTTTTCCATGTGCATGCATGAAGTTAATAATGTATCCCTTTATAATGTGTGTGCTCAAGTACCAATAATAAAAAAGTGTTGTTCCACATGGCACTTAATTATTCAAATTGATTTACAGTTTAGCAAATGGTGGTGTTTTTTTTATAGCTATTATCAACATTAACAGCAACTTTAACAAAGAAATCACTCATTGATTGCATGCAACATTTTAGAAGCGTATGCATACTGTGCCTGTATATGGCACATTTGAAATGTAAACATTTGAAGAAGAAACTACTTTTGATTTCCTTGGCGCGGTTTGCATCTAGATGATATACACTCACTGGCCACTTAGCAAGGTGTACCTAATAAAGTGGCCTGTGAGTGTATGCTGAGCCTCATCTTGCCTTGGTGTTTTTTTTCAAATCAGTGGAAGTGCACCAGTGTAAGTTGAGACCCCAACATTTTTGCACTGTCAAACCAGAGTCAAGTTTCTAATCCTCAGCCAAGAGTCGGTTTCACTCACCATCCTGCAGAGCGACCATCAATCCCCTCGTCAATTGAACAAACCTGCATACCAGAGCACTTATAATTCATTTAATTCGCTCACTCCATTCAATTGTGCAAAGTAATTAATGGCAAGTCTCCACGTTTGTTTTGGCGTGAGACGAGCTTTGAAAAGCACAACAATCACAATTAAATAAAATGCCCACTCTTTGAGTTGCACTGTTTGCAAATGAGAAAAATCCTCCATGTCTCATTTGGGGTAATTTGATTGACCAAGGTATCATTGTTTTCATTTACACTAGGGAAATAAAATATCAAATAAATGATTAACTACATAATCATGGAGGAGAACCCTGTTGTGTTTAGACATTCCCTTATATTGTATCCAAACTGTGAAAGAGTTCACTGTGTGTGCTAAGAGAGACTTTCAGAGGGATGTGTCCTTACTTAAAAGAATGAACCTCAGCAGGTATACAAATATAAATAATATCAGGATAGGGAGTGTGTTTCTACAGGCTAAAACTTCAGTCCTTATTATTTGAATATAAACAAACACTAACTTCATTTACATAAGCCCTTGTTCTTGGTGGCTTTATACAAAACCTTGATTTGCATCGTCTTTTTGTTGCTGCTTATTGTTGCTCTTTCGCACACTGATAGCACACACTGTAATGGTGGCATCTTCTACAGAGACTCACTAGATTTCCTATTAACCATTAAAGAGTCTGTCTCTCTTACCTCCAGAGATTCATACTTTGAAATTGATGTTTTATCATATTTACTGTGCGTCTACTACATTATTATTTATGCATTTCTTATTTATTTCAGCTGTCTTTTTCACATAGCAGAAACTCAAAAAGGCTTTGGCTTCATTATTTGTTTTGGATGCCAGTTTTCCAGGATATTTTGAGAGCCATTTTGATCTCCTTTTGATCCAGATCCAGCATTTCAAAGCTAGACTTTGCAGTGTGTCCTTGACTCCACTGTGAGTTTCTCCTCGATCCACTGCCCACATTAGGCCCGAGACTCCCATAGGAGCAGCAGTGGCTGCTCGGTGGGTAGAATAATTTTGTGCTATATGTGCAGAATAACAGTGTCTAACTGTCGCTCCCCCATGCAACTACACTTCAGGACATTGCTTTACTTAAAGCATTACATAAACCCAACTTTCCTGTACAGTTGTATATTGATTAAGGCTGCACAATTAATCAAAAATGATATTGAAATATGGACTAGTGCAATATTCAAATTGCAGGAAGTACAATAGGTACAATTGTGTGGCATCAGTATACTCCTGAGGACATCTTGGCTTTGTTTTTTAGGTAATTTGTTGAACTGTCGTGCTTTGAAAAAATCAACAAAAGCACTTATGGTGCGGTGCGTTGCTCTAAAAATTCCCTATTCATTCATTTATACATGCAGCTTTAAAACAAGGTACGTCCAGGTGCACCTTTTTGGATGGAGAGCAGTTAGGTGCAGGCCAGTCCTTTAAATACATATGTCTCTCACTAGGTGCGTTTCCATCTACCTGTTTTCAATTTCTTCATGAAAAGAAAACCTAGATAGGAATTAAAAGGTAGAAACTCAAAAAATTCAAAATAAATCTTAAAATATTGCAAAAATTGTTTTATGATAGGCAGGTAGAAATTGTTTGCAAATCAATGGTTTAATTGCTTTCCAACTGGAGGGTTATACGACCTAACTTCTTATAATCGCATAACAAAATGCAGTGAATGGGTGATAAAATTGCACCATTGGTCGGTCAAGATAGCATTTTCTCATTGGCTGATGTATACGAGTCTACGGTCAAATAGTACAAAGAAAACGGTACATTTTCTTCCACTTTTCCTTGACCGTAATGAAAAACGTCAGTTAAGATCAAGACATAGTAATAATATAATATAATATTTGGAAAATAATACTTTATGCAATGTCTACATAGCTCGTTAGGTCTACTACTGTCCTGATCACCATTGAAGAATGAAAATATAACCTTATAAACACAAAACTTGTTGACGTCATTTGATCATTTTACAACATTCATTCGCGTAATCGTCATAGTTTTCCTTTTGGTTTACAATAGTGTTGAAAGGTTAAAACATATAAGCTTTTTAGCAAGATATGGCATGAGTTGGAAACAGCTTTATAAGCACTATAACCTTAATTATCTGCATTTGTCGGTCATGATGAATGGCCAATTGGTGCCACACTTTAAATGAGGCAGCCGCAAGGACTTAGGGGATGGCATTATATCCTTTCCTTTCATCAAGGAGGGTCCAGTGTATCCAATACCAAAGGTAGTAACAGGGAAGCATTGATGCACCTTTTATAGCACTGAGAGAATTCAAAAAGCTCTTATCATAGCCAACACTCCAGTCATTCTGGGTCATTTCACTCAGTTGGGGAAACTTCCTAAACAAAAATGACTATTCGGCACTGCCTCAGCTATCAATCACTTGATCCACTTCTTCAATACATACGCGGAAGTTGTTGCTGTCAGCCACATTTGACACTCAGCCTGCAAACCTCGACCCAGAAAACCTCTTTTGAGATAATTAGGCGGAGGTTTTAAAGACTGGAGCGTCTCCTCACTCGCCTTACTTATTCAGGAGTTTTACTTGAACTTGATTAAGCATCTACTCATCTTCTAAAATTATGATTTGGTGTGACCATCCCAAGTCTTATGGGACCCACATAAAGGAGCACTTAATAGTAAACACTGATATTGTCTCTGTTCTTCTACATCTGCTGTTTTTCTGCGCAGGTGAAGATGTGTACATCCGTTTGTACGGGGCTTGTGAGGAACTGGACATCCATCTTGAGCGTGAATCTGTTCTGGTAAATCAGACTTACATTTCCCTGGCCAACGTGTGCAAAGTATCTCTCACCTACAGGAGTGAGATCCCTCTAAAGTACTGTTGGACGACATGGCCCAGCCTGCAAGAGGAGGCCTTGAGCTTCTTGAGGTATGTGTGTATGAACATAAATGACTTCACACAGACAATACTGGAATTTGTCTTTGATAAGATGCTTTGTGTGGCCTGTACAAGCTCCCCGTTTCCCTGTGTACATGTAGAAAGTAAAATGAACACAGCATGTGATGCCAAAAATAGCTTAAATTCCCATCACTTTCTTCCTGTCTGAGACTCCTTGTTCTTCCATCCTCATTTCTCTTTGTTTTTGACTTTCACCTTCCCTTGCTTCCTCCATTTCTCTAGGGAGAGCTCATCACTCCAACAGAAGGAGGAGGAGGAGGAGGAGAGAAAACGGTGGCTTGTTCAGTGTGAGTCCGACCCCACAGCGATCTATCGCCTCCCACAGCTGTCGAAAGCCCTGCAAGAACGCAGAAGCCAGTTAGTGGAGGACCAACGCCTGGTCCTCTCACACAGCTGCTTAACTCTGGAACCAGCGGTGTGTTTATGTGTGTCTGTGCTTTCCTGTCTTTACAAATCCCACTTGCCCAGTATCTCTTGTCAGCTAATAATCCACACCCCATGGATTTGCAGCCTAGTTTCTCTCCTTATTAAGACTGTACTGCAGAGATAATAACCGCTCATGATGTGTCTGAATAATTTGATACTTTAATTAATTCCAAGAGAGTTAAATAGAGCCTTTTCTAAGCTGGCAGGGATTTAGTAGCTAGTTCAATAGAGTGGTGCAGTGATGATGTATTTTTGTAGCCCGACCCGGGAGTGAGCAACTCAAGGACTCTCAACTAAAAGCCAATAGGATTTTGCCATTGAATTTTGGAATATTGTGGAAAATAAGATATGTAGTAAACACACGTTTATGATACATACATTCTTGTTCAGCAGTATAGTCTCCACCACTTTATAAATTTTGAATCATTAATGCAATGGGCAGAAGTAAAGAGCTAACGTTAGGCTATAAACGGTCGCATGGCTTCGCGTCACCACTGCTAAGCTAAATGTGGCTAATGTCGCGTCACTTGTTAGCATCTGCCGTGTTTATACAGTAACATGTTGAGGCTTAGAACGAGAGGGGTATTATAATTATATATTATAGATTTTTGAAATTAAAACCACCTGCTTAGAAATCATAAGTTGGAAAGGCAGAACAATTCAAAAGATATCTTGAAATATTGCAAAAAGATTTTTAATGCAATCATTCAATGATTTTCCAGTGGAGAATTTATACGTTTGGATGAAAACCTAGCTACTAAGTGAGAGAGTGATGAAGTTAAACCATTGGTTTGCCGGTAAGTGCAAATAAGGGGCTCCTATCAAATAGTCAAAAAAAATGTCCTTTGTCTTTTCCAAACCACTTTTCCTTGACCTTGATGAAAAACATAATGATTTTCAGAAAAAGATGTGAAGGACAAATCATTAGGAAGTAGGGAAAGATAACTGCAGTACTAAAATATTCCAAATGCACTCACACTAGGTATGATAGCTGGTGTTATTGCCGGGGTCTGCTCTTCAGCTTATGTCAACCACAGATCTTATTTCAGGCATCTAACCAAAAACATGTTAAAAGACACATTGACTTTGAGACAAAGGAACCGTAAGTGGTTAAATGGTAACTAATTTCCTGCAGCACTTTATGGCCTTAAGCGTGTTGGATGTTTAAAACAGGGTCTTTAGGTTAAAAGACACTTTTCGCTACATGCTATGCCAAATTGGTCAAATGTTAATTCAATCTGACTGCTCTGTTACGGGAGGGTCACAGCTCGTTCTACCTGTTCTGACACCGCCATCCCCCTTTTCTGCCAGTGTCTCCTTCGCTCAACTCAGCCAGGCTCCCTGGGCAGAGGGAGAGCGGAGACGGTCAAAAAACAGAAGGAGAGGGCAAGAGAGAGACGGGGGGGCAGAGAGAGTAATCAGTGTGTACTGTAGTCCAGCCCAAACACATTGAGAGCACACACACACACACACACACACACACACACACACACACACACACACACACACACACACACACACACACACACACACACACACACACACACACACACACACACACACACACACACACACACACACACACACACACACACACACACACACACACACACACAGGTATTAGTAGGTGACAGAGATATTTGGTGTTGGTGTGTGTGCGTGTAGATTTGACCAGGATAAAAATACCACCACATTGTTTTTTAAAATGCACCTAAACTTCCACCCAAAAAATGTCTCCTCTTTTCCATTCCTACTATTAAGATGCTTCAAACGTAAAGTGTGGATTCTTCTCAAACAACCGTTCCGAGTGAGAGATTGTACCCTTACAGTTATATGCATGTCTGATTGATATCCTCTGAGAAAATGACCACTTGTTTTTCTTCTTGTCTTCTCATGGCTCAGGAGGGTGAAATCTGGCCTAAAACGCCAGCGCAGTTCAACATTATCTTCAAACCCGACGAGGCCAAGCTGTACCAACAAACCATATATTGTCATGTCACAGGTCAGTGCCTAGCTAGAAAACACAATGACCATTTAGGTAGCATAGCATAATATTGCATGTAAACATCTTAACTACTTTAAGATGCATGAACATTTTGGTCTTGAGAAACATGTCTCAATATTTTTTGGATTGATTGTCATGGTGTATGGTAGTACAGACTTGTGTTTGCCTTAGGATGAGATGTAATCACTTGATTCCCGACTGATCCATAATCCTTGTTATAAGGTAAAACTTTAAATGTGTCCAGTATGTTGTTTCTTAATACAAGATACCTGCTAGGCTAATTAAATTCATATCTTATCCTAAGATGTGGATTACCTTTAGTTTGATGCTTATTAGCAAATGTTAAAATACAGACATGCTAAACTTGGTGAACATCGTTAAAAATGTACCTGCTAAACATCAGCATGTAATGCTAGCATTTAGCTTAAAGCCCCATTCTGCCTAAATACTGCCTCAGAGAGCTTCTAGCATGACTATGAAGTTGTAAACCTCATTTAAAATCTGTTCACTTTTGTAACTATGCTAACTACTAAAAATCTGTTCTATGGACAGCATTTACCTCTAAAACAAGGGCACTGATCAGAACATGTAACTAACTGGTTAACCAGCAACATAAAGTGCAATATGAAATCAGAACATGACATGTAATCATTTGCCTACTATGTACAGACATTCTAATATCGTTTCTGTTTGCATTGGTAGTTTAATTTACAAAGCAATCCCATGTATAACATCTATTCAGAATGTCCTTTGCACCACGGTCCAACTTAGCAGTTGGGATGTCAAGTAGCCCAAGAGACCTTCAAAATGCAACTAATTTCCTATTTTGACAATTAAGACAACATTATGGAGACCATACACTAGGACTAGGTTAAGTGCCAAAAACTATCAAATAATTGGGGCTTTGTCCGTTTCATCTCAAACACATTACACAACAAATATAAGGTGTTAACCATTTTACGGCAAGATATAAAACACACCCCATCTCAAAGGAATCTAGATACAGATACAATTTTAAAAGATAATACATACTGTTGCATTTTTGTAAGGGAGGAATTTGGGATAAAATGACTAGGTGCAGGTTAAAGCTAAGAATATGTAAGGCTTACATTTAAAACACTTCTTAAGAGACACTTAACACAAACTTGGCTTTGTTCTTGAGCCAAACCTTCTCAGAGTATAACTCTTTTGTTTGTTCTTCCACATCTTGGAACTGATTGTTTTGACAACTTTAAGCAGACTTTACACTCCTGCTATAAATCAATAGCGTTGGCTTTCTCATAAAAGATTTTCCTCCCCTCAGTGGGTTGGTGCAGACAAAGGTTAGACACACAAGTCTGGGTAGCAAACCGTGTCTGTCTGTTTAGTTATTGTCAGGGAAGAACTGCCAAAACTCTCTCTTTTGATGTTCTCTTTTGCTGTAGTGTATGACATCTACTCTTATCATCACAAATGAACCTTTAAATCTGCCTAATTGGTTTCACTCTCCGATGACTTATTGCTACATGAACTCATTTTCATATTCGACAATGCAGTCATGAGGCTCCAATATATTAATCTCATCCCAGTGGTAGTAAAAGGTTGTTGGGAAATTTGCATGTGGCCATCACGAGTGTCTCTGCAGCCGGAGGCCAGATTTCCATGAATTTCCATGTTTTCTGAGGCAGGCAACGACCTGACCAGCTAAGGTCAATGACAGCCGGTCTGGAGACTACCATTCCCCGATTCCTCATTTTGCAAGAAGCTTTAGAAGCTTATTCAGCAGAACTGCAGGATATAACTGTTTTGCCTTTAAGTAAATTCACAGAGAGTGAAAGAGAAAAGTAGATTAGAAAGAAGCTGATGTAAAGTGAATGTTTATCAAGGATTTGGACATTTTGTATTTGGAACAACCATTTTTTTAACCCTTTGTATTTCAACCGACACATTCAAATACATGAAAACTGAAACAATAGAAATGAGGACAAACAGGCTGACGACCCATACAGTACAGCCTTTCCTTTTTCTTGTATGCTGTCCATTTTTCCCAGCGTTGTTCATGAATCTCTGCTTTAGTCTTTTCTGTTCCCCTGTCCCTCGTTTTCTCTGTCTTTACCTGTGTTGTCAATTTGTTCCTGTCTGTCACTGCTCTTATAGGTCGTGAAGCTCGGCTGCCTCTCACAATAAAGGCACAGGGCTTGGGACCTAACCTCCAACTCACTTATAACCGGATGGATATGAAAAACGTAGACATTGGTGGCAAAGACTGTTATGAAGTAAGAAAGGTTAAGCCGAAGTGAAACAGTCTAGCCTTTTAAAAAAGTATTACTGTGTAACAACTTGTGTGTGTGGTATATCCTTCCTACCTTTTTTAAGTAAGTCTTTTTGTTTAGTCAAACTCAAGATAACTTACAATTATCAAATCATTTGGATTTTTAATCAGAGACAAAAACAAGGTACTAACAGGCCAAGCTATATGAATTATATAGTGAGTGAATGCCAGTTAAATATATTACAATACAATGCAATAGTAAAACAATGGATGGAATGCAGGAAGACTGTTATGAGGTTATTGGTATAATAGAATATTTTTACATTATAAGGTGTCCATGTTATTTTGTCCCATTTAGGAACAATATAGCATATAGAAATCGTTTGCCCTGTCAAGTCAGCTAAGTGCCTTAACAACAAAACTGAAGTTTGTATTGTTAGCCTTGTGAACACATTTGCATGACATTACATAATGTATTTTTGTAAATATCACCAATGTTCTTAAATTCACATTTTGTGTTGACATCATACTCGTTCTGTGCCTCTTCTTATAAATAAGACAAAACTGTTAAAAGTCTAAAGCAATTTAACTGTTAAAATGTCCAACATAAAACCAACAGATACACTTGACAAATGTTTTTCTAGTATACATAAGTGTAAGTAAAATAGTTTCCATCAGCATATCATTTATTTAAATCAAAACTGAACTTGAAAAGATATTACAATAAAGAACATACATTTACTGCAAGCTCTTTCCTTGATTATTTAGGGTGGGCCTTGTACAACAAAGTATTGAATGAGTGCATCCTTCTTTCCAGGTGGAGATGTACAACAAAGGGCTGATTGATGCCCCTTTCAGGATGTCAAACCCCGACACCACATTCGGCCGCTGTTTCTCCTTCAGTCCTGAGGAAGGTGTTGTTTCCTCTGGGGCCTGGCAGATTGTGCAAGTCACCTTTCAGAGCTGCATCTTGGGAACTTTCTCTGAGGACTTGCTGCTAACTGTCACAGGACAGCCTCAACCACTTACCGTGACCTTCAGGTGAAGCCAGCGAGCAATTCAGATTCATCCTAGACAAATGAAAACCTTAAAAGTAGTGGCAGTGTTGATAATCAAATTATGAAGTTTTCTCATGGTTCATGATTTTAGTTTTTAGAGACGGTTCAAATGACATGGAGAGATGCTTACACAATAACACACGTTCTACCTTAGATACATTGTTTCATGTCTTTTATGGACATTATTCAAATATACATCTTCATTGGTAATATTGGATATATAGGAGCACATTTCAATTACTGCATCTCTCTTAAAATTCATGAATGTACTATATAATATTCCTTTAATTATAGCCAAACAATAACCAGTGTAATAATATGTGTTATAATCTGAATAAAACAAAAAAATACAGGCATAAAGAATTCAATAAATAAGAAAAAAGAGAACATTTGTATGAAATGTTGGTAGTGGAGTTCTGGTATTGCTGGTATTAATGTTGACCATCTTTTAGCAAACATTTTCCCACAGTTTTCCTTTGTAATCTTGCTGTTTATTCATTTTTTTCCATGATATAAACATTTGTAACATCCTTTGCATAATGGCTCATGTTTTTATCTTCTTTTTTCAGGGGTTGTGTCGTTGCTCCCGCACTCGACTTCAACGTTTCTGAGATCAATTTTGGAGACGTAGCATTTGGTGAGTGACATCGTCCTGGGCTTATTCAATTTCAGTTGCTACAAAATATATATTATACTCCAGACGATCACATCCTCAAAAAAAAAGTCTCTACTTCACCCTTGTTTTGTTTTTTGATGTCCCCCTTTGTTCTATCCTTGTCATCCATATCTTTGTTCAGGTTTCCCTCAAACATTGGCTTTTACCCTCTACAACACCTCCTTTGTGCCTTTGAACTTTGCCCTGCGTGTCCTGGGAGACGGGACAGGGTCTCCGAGTGTTACTAGTCTCAAACAGGCGTCTGAGGTGTCAAGGATCAATTGGGAATGCGGTGCTGATAGAGGCCTTCGTGCACAGCCTGTAGAGTTCACCGTCATGCCTGCTGCAGGCTCTATGCGTAGCCTGTCTGATGTCACTATTAAGGTATAGTAAGTCATTGAATAGAGTGGGAACCCATTTGAAATTGTTACATTTTGGAGACTCCAGGAAACCCCTCAAAAGAAAAAGTGTTTTGCATCAACCCTCAATAAAACTGTTTTTTTTACATTTGTTTTTCTCCTGGAACAAAATAAATGTTGTGAGTTTTTTAGGTGTTGGTGGGTGTATTTTGCTATATTTGCATACAGTCACGCTAGCTGGTTTCCCCCCTGCTGTGTCGCTGGTTCTGTACTTACATTTGCTGTTTTGAGGGCTGAACTCCCTTTCAATGTGAAGTACGACCAAATGCAGTGCACAATGAGTAACCGGATGGTGTAACTTGCCAGACTTTAAAAGTACTGATTGTGTGTGTTATATGTATACAGGTGACGCTGTGCTCCAACACAGTGAAGACATACAGGCTGGTGCTGGTGGTAGATGTGGAGGGTGTCGGGGAGGAGATCGGGACTCTGCCTATCTACGCCAGGTCAGACACATTTACAGATGTCAACACACTTTTTGACATGTGTACTCCAAACGTGCACAAAGTTAACTTATCAGATTGTATCATATATTTTCAGAGACAGCCAAAAAATAAAAAAATACAATCCACAACAAAGAAAAAACTGTGGAGTAAAGATTACGGTTATTATCTATTTGTGCATTTGTTTCTATTTAACACATAGTCTAACGATGTGCATGCACATGGTCTTGTATCAGTGCATGGTTTACTTTCATTTATAAACCATCATTTATTTTATTTTATTTTGTTCTATTTCATATTATTTTATCTTATTCTATTTTATTTGATCTAACTCTTGTTTCATATTATTCCTTTCATTCATTTTATTCATATGTTTTTGTCTTCTGCCATAACACTGTTTGATAGTTGTATTTGTAGAAGATGAATGAATATAAAGGATGACCTAGTAATATGGACAAAATGAGTGTTAACGTGTTCCAACTGTGTTGCAAATTGCCATCAAACAGAAGAGGTTCATGTTGCTTGTTTAAAAACACTCCGACTTCCCTCTTTCTTCAAATAAAGTGCCTTTATTCTGATGTGTTCTGGTTGTCCCTAACACTTTGACAAGCTGTGAATGAGGTCCATTGAGCTTCCATACAGGTGTCGGCAAATCAGTGGAGTATGTGCTCAATATTCAGAGCCTAATTTGCATAATAATACATTTGAATGTCACCTGCACCATCATTCAGGAGTGGAGCGATGGTAATCTGACTTCCTCTCGGCAATCACCGTCATTGTACTTTTATGAATCATTTCTAATTAATAGCAGCAGTTGTGTCACGTTGTGATTCATAAATAAACCTGAAATCTTTCCCTCAATTCTCCTTTCTTTATCTATTTCTCTTTGCTAATAGGTGTTGTGTTCCTGATATTGTGGTAGAGACTCCAGTGTTGGACTTTGAAAGGTGTTTCCTCGATCACCCGTATGAGCAGCGGGTGCGGCTGACTAACAGCAGCCCTCTGCCGGCCTGCTACGGCATGCTCGACCAGGTTAAGTCATTTGTTGCAGATGATCATTATTTGTATGTTTATTAGGGTCCTAGTGGAAAAATATCAAGCACCAAGCCTGTCAAGGTTCTTTATAACAATGGCTAATTTCCAGATGAATACAGCAAAAATGTATATGTGGTAGATGTGAGCTATATGATTACAAAATAAATCCTTCATTCATCCGTCTCTCCACAAGAAAGCAAATTATTGTCAATCCCAACATTTTGAATTATTTCCTTTTAATGCCATTACCACTGAACTTTACAATAATTTTTTTTAAATGAAATAGAATTACAATTATATTTATGGTTAAACAAATCAGATCCTGACTTATTAGCACTATGAAACCGTTTTGAAAGGTTTTGGTAAAATTGGAAAACATTGAAATTACCTTTTTACTAAAATGACGTTTTACTCCAGTTAGTGTAGAAATGACAAGTTACAAGTCCTGCATTCAAAATGTAAGTAAGTTTGAGAAACCGGCTCGAGATACACTTTTTGTTATATTCCATGGAATGCTCTTAACATCCCGATAGCAATGAATATCTTAATTGCTTTGACAAAAAATCCATACAAAAATGTCATCTGTGGAAGCCGTAATACTGTAAAAAGCACGACCAATCATTTTAGCCGGCCCGGCTAAAATAACTGGATGGCCTACCTGCCTGTCAGCCTTCCATCTGTGTACAAACTTATCTCGTGCCCTCATTGGTCATGTACGCGTTCGTGTTTTGGAGGAGGGGCTCTGTAAGGAAGTGGCAGATTTGTTCCGGCTGTGTATTTTCAAATTCTAGCGCACTCGAGCTGGTTTCTCCAAAATTACCTACCCCACCTTTAAGTAAAAGTATTAAAATAAATAGTCCCATCAAAGGTCCTTATAGTACCAAAACAAAAGGTACTCATTATGCATAATGGCCATTTTCGGAATAATAAATATACTATTAATAGGTTCTAACTAATGATCCATTAATAAGAACTTCATTTTAATTCTGCAGCTGGTTAAAAGTAGAGATAACTTTAATGACTTTTTATAATGCTAGGCATTATGGCATTTTATTATGGATTAAATAATCCATAATAAAATGCCATAATTCATATTATATATATTTTGTATTTTTATTATCTGAACCTGCAATGTTGGGTTTGTATGCCTGAATTAAAAACATATTTCCATGTGTCATCTTTATCAGGAATATGAGGAAAGTCCGTCATTGCTTTTTGGCAGTGATACACCGAGAGGACTGATTCTTCCTCGTACTTCAGAAGAGCTTCCTGTGGTTCTGCTGGCTAAGGCGGTTGGAAGGCAGCAGCACACTCTACGCATTGCTGTGTTTGGCAGCAGCCAGGCGTCCCTGGTCAGTGGAATGCTGTGTGTGTGTGTGCATTTGTGTGTGTGTGCTTCTAAGTGTTAACATCTAATACTGTTAATGGTTGAATATATGCGTACGCGAAGCCCTTGGGGTAAAAACAGCAATATATCTTCCTGAATTAGAATTAAATTTTTATCAGCAAGTGTTTGCAATGTCTTCAAGTTGCTACATCAATTTAACTTAATGTATGCCTCGGAGCTAATGCCCAGTTTCCTCCTAGATAGCTAGCTACCTAGCTAGTGAGCTAACTAATTGTTTTTTTCATTTGTGTTCTTATAAAAAATTCAATTACTGCTAGCTGTCACAGGAAAACAAAGGTCTGTGAGAGACCGCAAAAGTATATAATAAGTTCTGTTCTCTAACCCACCTCTGTTCCGTTCTGTTCCAGGAGGTGGTCTTGTTCTGTGTTGGTCAGGGACCAAAAGTTCATGTTGAGACCCCGAAGCTAGACTTTGGCCGAATCCCTGTTCTGACTGACATAACTCGAGTTCTGCACCTGTCAAACGAGTCACCTATTCCAGCCCACTTCACTGCTCGCATGGTAAACACACACCAACACAGTCACTCATAAGCCTATTAGGCAATCAAACTAGTGGTAATATGTTGCAGTCTAGAAGCATACAATAATTGAATAATGACATTAGTGGTGGATTTAATGCCTGTTTTAGAGCCATCGACCCTCCAGCGGCTAGATTACCTATGCAAACCTTCTGTCAGTCTTGCCATGCTCTTAACTTGTGTTTAAATTAATTTTCAGTCTAATTCGATATGTGATTAATGAGTTAATAGGTCCAGTGCTTTGTTTGCTCTTGAATTAATTAGTTGCCAGTTCAATTTAAGTCCTACCACAGGAGAATCAGTGATTTTCCTCAGAGCCAGTCAAATGGTGACATTTTGTCAATTCAGGATGGCATGAATGAATTAGGGGGGCTTGATTTGTTGATTAGGGAATCTCAACGATGCTCGACTTGAACTGTCTTGCTGTTTTCTGGTGTTTGTAGTATTTCATGCACAATGTAGTCATTTAATATTCAATACTATATCCAAAGTTAAACTGACACTTCAACTTTTATCTCTTACTCTTCAAATAACAATCTTTTTTCATTACTTTACCTAAACTGACACTTCAATGTCTTTGGTCCTTTACTTTTTAATAGAGACACATCAACCGCTTTGTATTTTTTCCCTTAATGTTGCCTTATCGAGACTCTCAGGCTTGAAGAATAACGTTCCGCTTATTTTTATGCATCGTGCTTACTCAGTAATCTTAATCCCCTGAGATCTACATCCTATCAGTGCCTTCTGAAAGCCTTTCTCTCGCTTTGCATCGCCTTATCACTTTTCAATCCACTTGTGACTGGAGCTATGACTCAATACTTCCTGCAGTGGTGTGACCCTGGCCTCTCCTTTGAGGCAGTGTTGAGGGAAAGAGTTTCCCCCCTGCACTCTCAAGCATCAATCGATGCAGATTCTCCTTGAATTACATTACATCTCGCTCGATAGGCTGGCGTAGAGCCACACAAATGGACCTGATGACTGAAGATTGCGGGGGATATCTGCGGAAGGATATCCACACTTGCCTATCATCTGAATGACCACGACATTACCCCTGATACACCTTCACTTTTATTGAATATTTCATACAGTGCAGGTCAAAGATATCCAGACAGATTTTGTGTCCAAGCTTAGTTTAGCATAAAAAACGTCTAACCTCATGTACTACATAACTTTCTTCTATGGTCTTTTTGCCTTTTCTGTTGTCAGAATATGAACAGAGATACATGATAGTACATACATACATGACTAAACAATAAATACCAAGATGTTAATAAGGGAATTGCATCATTTAGATTAGGGCTATTGAATTGGCGGCCCGCGGGCCAAATCCGGCCCCGGGGTGATATTTACTGGCCTTTTGAGAATAATGTTGAAGGTCCCATGTCATGCTTTTCCAGTTATTACCCGTCCCCTTGTGTGTTATGTAGCTTTTTATGCATGTAAACAATCTGCAGAGTCACAAACCCTCAAAGTACACCCTGTAGCGAGTAAAACTCTAACACAGAAAATACCTGTCTAGAGAAGCTGCCCCAGAACGCCTCGTTAGAGATTTCTCTTTTTCCATTTTTTTCTTCTTTTCGTATTTGGGTATAGTGACGTAACGTAACGGCTCCGCGAGTTGGTCCAAATGGACCAATCCGCGGAGCCGTTATGTTACGTCCGCGGAGCCGTTACGTTAAGTAACACACACACACTCAATCTTTTCTCAGCTGCAGCTCCGCCGATTTCTCAGCCTGAGACAGCGGGATGCGGTGAGGCTGCGAGTCTGTGTGTGAGCACACACACAGACTCCCAGCCAGGCTGCGGGTGTGTGTGTGTGCTCGGGCTGGTTTCGGGCTGGGTTTCGCTGTCTCGCTGACGGCCACTGGGCTCACAGGGAGGGGGTTTAGGACAGAGAGTGAATAAACATACTATACAGAGATGCTGTATGAGAAACCAATGTGAGTTTGGAAAATTGCACAATATAAATCTATTCTAGTATACCTCAACAATGGAATTATGATCAGTAGAAATGGCCATCACATGGGACCTTTTGGGAGAATTTTGCCTTTATTCCAGAGAGGGTGTTAAATTGAGAGATAGAGGGGAAGACATTGCCTGAAAACTTCGGCGGGCTCGGGTTTCAAACCCACCTACTAGCTACTGTAGTGACAACTCCTGTCATTTATTGCATCTCTGCGTGAATGATTAGATCATTTCACCTAAATTAAATCACATCAAATGATGTTGATGGTTAAATCAGCTTCACATGTAGGCCTACTGAGTTCTGAACTTGCCATTTAGATCTATAAAGGCCTTGGGGCTATGTTGTTGATTGAATTAAACACAATATATGCACTCCACTATGCTGTTGTAGTATTAACTGTATCTGAAGCTCTTAATATGATTGCTCATATTTCAAGCCATCTTTTTCCCGGCCCCTTGCTTTGGATCATTTTCATCAACCGGCCCCCATTCCAAACTAATTGAATAGCCCTGATTTAGATGTTCTTTAGTCATTTTTTGCACAGAGAAATATGAACCTCACGTTACAAAATATTGACTTTTGGTACTTTATGATATTTTTTGAACAGGAGACCTAGCATCCATGTTCACTTCAGCAGCAATGTGTGGTTTATGTTGGTCCATGTGCAGCACCGATTTGAATTCCAAGCCCTCCTGACTTGCTGCATTCAAAAGCAATCAATGCTAATCAAGCTGTGGGATGCAGCAGGTTTGATGTGATTATTGAGATTCCAGTCGTCTTGCTACTCTCTCCGGGGAATCAACCCCTTGCTCTTTCTCCTCCTCTGACTCTTCCCACCCCCTTACAGCGATCACCCCTCGTATCGACCCACACCAAGTCCGCTTTCACCCGCACCTCTAGCCGATTATACAAACGCTGAGAAAGTGATCTACGACTCCTAAAGTCAAGCGGTGCCTGCCCCAGTGAGGCATCCTTCCTCAGCTTGCTTTTTTCCTGCCTCCTATAAGGAAGTATATTTAACAGACGTCAAACGAAATCTTCATATTTTATTTGTCCAATACGATTTTGATACAGCTTCTGCTTCAGGCAACAACAATGTCAATTGCAGTGTTTGAGCGAAGACATTCTTCTCCATCGATGAACAATCTAGCGTGTTGGCTTATCAGCAGTGAAAACGCCCAAGCTCCACTGTACCTTCGAGAAAGCTCAACATCCCATTTATAAGTTTATGTTCCAGCCATCCATCAACAGATTTGCTGTAGAGGACATCGATTGTGATCCCAATCACAGATATATGCACAGTACAGAGAGAAAAGTGTAGGGCTTTGTTGAAGGACTGGAGATGAACATTAGATTTACATCTGTTTTCTCTTTCCGTTGGACTTTGTTCAACTAATCTCAATCGAATCATCCACAGAGCTTGGACATAGAATGAATATTGTGTTTTTTTGCAGCACTTCCTTTTATATGCATACTGTATGTATTGTATAGGAGAGTGTAGGTGGGAGACATTTTAATATATCCACTGTTTGTATTTGTATATTTTAGAAACATATTTTACCACTCCTACACTGCTTCTATACAACTGATCTGTATATCACACTGTACTAGGGATGTAACGATACCAAAAACTCACGGTACGATATTTATCGCGATATTGAAAAATAATTTCTTTTAAAAAAGTAGAACTTTTGTTTTTTAACATTTTATCTTGCCATTTTTTTTTTTTTACTTGAAAAAATTAATCTGATTTGTACAGCATTTAGTAGGATAGTAGTATTTTAAAGTGTCAAAAATATAATAATCTGGGGCCTCATTTATAAACGGTGCGTACGCACAAAAGATGGCGTACGCCAGTTTCTACGCAATGTTTGCGATTTATAAAAAACTAACTTGACGGGAAAATGTGCTGTCCTCCACGCAAACTCTGACCCATGCGTACGCACTAAGCACAAAAACGGGAGAGACGAGAAACTGCGACACCGTTGGCAGAAGGAAGAATGGAGAGAAATATGTGGAAATAATACCATAAATAAAATGTTACCTCTCATTTATCAAATATGAAGAATTCATTTTCACAAATTGATTAAAGCCAATCTTAAAATGATTAAACAAACGCCTGTTTGAGACTCCTCAGTGCACACAAAAACATAACTTGGAGAAATAAATAAATACGGAAATGTTATTGATCACCCCTCGATTATGTTCTCTTGTTAAGAAATGTATTCTCATAAATGATGTGGTAAGCAGGAGGACAGAATTACTTTAAATTGACGCCGTTTTGCATTTCTATAGGTTGTAGATACGAGCATGGTTTTATATACTATCAGGTTTAATCGTGTTTTATGCCGTTCGCCAAGACTTGATAAGTCGCTCGTAAAACACAGGAGGTATGGAAACTAAGAACACCATATGTGGTAAATTGTACAGCTAATATAACACAACCCATTAGTTGTATTTCCTTTAACTGGTGGATTATGGATATATAGTTGCTGATCGACAGCTGGAACACAAACCACCAAATACAACAAAATAATTCAGATCCAGTCGTCATGACTCCACTCCGGAGGGATTCCCCGATCATTTCTTACAGTTTCTCATCAAGGGGGTGTCTCCTGTCCCCGGTACAAACACACTGCCTGAGGAAGGTTATGTGTATTTTTTTTGTCATTAACTTTTTTCGGACCACTTATTTATTTATTTTGGTGACGATCCGACCTCCATGGTGCTACTCTGGTTCAAACTGCATCCACCAAACAATGATTTATCTCGACCTCCCCAAAATAACCCAAATCTGACACGGTGTGAGATGTCTTTTTTAGCTGTGCTGTCGTCATTTCCTGCGATCTTCTTCATGCAGTCAGTCAAAATGAATGAATGAATGGGCGTTTCTTTTACTATTTATAGGCAAATATGGGCGTTACGTGAAGCCTGCAAAAGCTGCGCCGCATTTTGAGTTGATTGTGATTTATAAAGGGAAACCGGCGTAGGATGTGCCGTACGCAAGTCCTGTGCCGGTACGCAGTCTTTTATGAATCGGAAAGGGTCGGTGCGTATTTATTTGCTTTGTCCTACGTAAGCAACCTTCCCACGCCAATCCTACGCAAGGCTTTATAAAGGAGGCCCCAGACCCTGCAATAAAATAAATCAAATTTCACTTTAGTTTTTCAAGTAACTCGACTCAAATTCACTAACTCACTCACTCAGCATCATCAGACAGGTTCTTTTTTAGGAATATGAGCATGTCCACATTTCCAGGTAGAAACTGGGATGTTTGGGCGTTTACAATATCCCCTGCTGTGGAAAAAACTCTCTTGCTTGGTACTGATGTTGCTGGGCCAGAGAGATATGCTTTGTCCATGGGTGACAGCAGTGGGTAAAACTGTGCATTGTCTCTCCACCACTTCAAAAACAATACAGTTTTTGCCAAGAAGGTGAGGCTTATTGACAGGGCGAGATATACATATACTGTTGGTACTTGTCAATGTCTCTAGGTATGTAAATGTAGCCCTGTAAATACGATGTCCTTTTGTGTTATCTGTTGTTTTATGTTCATGTTGTAACCTACTTGCTGCCATGTTGGACAGGTCTCCCTTGAAAAAGAGATCGATGATCTCAATTGGACCACCTGGTTACGACGGTATTGAGACATTTATTTATCGTGATATCGCGATATTCGATATATCGTTACATCCCTATACTGTACCCATTTTCATAATTATAGTAGGGAGATATTTCATCTTACTTATGTCAGGCATACTACTTGTACCTCTAGGATCTTAGGCTTCTCCGAAATAGTAATGTGATTATGCAGCTTCATGATATACACATCTATCTGTCCAGGTCCATCCATAGTATATGCCTCAATGGCATGTGCAGCACCGTAAAGGGGAATGTGCTCCTCCCACTAGGGAGACATTTTCCTGCATCATGTTTCAATCATATACTGTACGGATGCCACAAGAGGCAAAACAAAGACTGGTGTTCCATTCCTAAGTCTGATTTAAATTCAATTCAATTCAATTCAAATTTATTTATATAGCCCAATATCACAAATCATATTTGTCTCAGAGGGCTTCACAAATCAACAAACACAATTGGCAATGTAAAAACAACAAATGTATCTTACAAGATCAATGTGAAAATACCAATTTAAAAAGGAACATAACACAATGACACAAATACAGTTAGAGTACAATAATTACAATTCCATAAAACAAAGGGTCCATGAGGATGTATAAAAGGGGGTTTAAAACCAGTCTTAACTGTACGCTGTACTAAAGAGGAAAGTCTTTAAATAGTTTTCCTCTTGTGTTTATGGCTCAAGAACAGCGGAAATACCATTTTGTCAGGATATTCTTTCTAAATTCCTTAATTCCTTTATTTAGGTTTGGTAAAAAAAAGGTATTGCACAATCTTTTTAAGTACTAAAAGCAATTACTTTTTCTTTTAGGTTGGTTAAATGTTCTCACTCTAAACCCAAAGTACATAATAGCCCATTAGTTTGTTGTTTATGCATCAAGATAAATAATAATTCATTTAAATGAAATGGCTCTACTCAAGTCCCCCAAAAGGGGAAATTGTATGAAATATCATGGCAAATAAAGGGAAATGTTTAAAATCAAAAATAAATACATAAAAAGGAGTAACACCATCTCTTAAAGTGAGGAATGTCATAAATGGGGTAATGGTGCATTTTAGCCTCTTAAATAACTATTACAACAAGAAACAGAAAAACACTTGCCAAAACTTTTCTTCAGTTGTTTTTAAGTCATAAACACAGAAGAACAAAACTATTGAGACCCAAACATTTGACAAAAATTGATGACCAGATTTAATTTGAATCGTACTTGCCTTTCAGGGCATCCATAGTCATGAACATTAAGAAGCTGTTGTAACCAATACTATACCTCTACAGATGCAGAGGGCAGGCATCCTGTCCCAGCTATCTTTAAACTTTGTTTGTGTTTCTGTGTCCTCAGTGGGATAGAGGGTCCTTTGGGCGAGTTGAGCCCAGTGAGGGGGAAGTGCCACCAGAGAGCCAGCTTGAGCTGAGAGTTGTGGCACACCTGAAGGACACGCAGGACTTCAAGGCCACGCTGGAAATATCCATCCGGGACAGTCAAACACACACTGTCCATCTCTCAGCCACAGGCACTGGCACCACAATTGTCAGTGACAAGACTTTTGCACCTGCCCTTGACCTAGGCGCATACTTCAGGTAGAATGAAAGAGGTCATATGCATTAACATGAGGGATAATGTGCAGCAAGTTGGACATAAATTAGAAAATAAGCTCAACAGGGCTAGCAGGATCCCGACGAGCAGCTCGCAGCACCATTATCCCACTTATAACTTGGCTACTTGCTAAATAAATCGATCATTTAACTCACAGTATAGATCAAAAAAACATCCTATTGGTTCAGCTTATAGAAAATAGTCTGTTCTGCTGCGTGGCCGTACTGATTGAGGTTTTCTGCCCAGTAGCTGTCAAAATCTGTTCTTACTTTATTTCCCAAGTCTTTAACAATCCCCCAGTCCATAACATGTTCCCTTTAGTTTGTACTTCCTGTCTGTCTTCTTCTGCTAATTTCTCTGTCCTCAAGCTCTCTGTCCTCCACATCTTTTATTCTCTTGCGCCGCTTTCTTGTTCTCTTTTTTTTTACTTTACTTAGGACCGTTTAGCCGTCATGAATCCAGTGTCTTGCTCTTGACAAATATAAACAATAATATTGAAAAAGCATTCCATGGTGTGAGTCCACACCCGTCATGAATTGACCGCATTTCTTTTGGCGGATTGGTCTGACTGCACATTGATCAGAGTGTCCTTAGCAATAGCCTGTCATCAAAAAATATTGACCAAACAGAATCTAGTTTTCAGCTAAGCTATGTATTAATTTATAATAACCATAATTAGAAATACAAATGTAATAGTGACTCTATGCCTAACCTTGCTCTCTTCTATATGTCCTATAAGCCATGAGTCATGCCAGTACCACTTTAAGCTGACCAACCATGGCAAGCGAGTGCAACGGATATACTGGCGCACTGATTACTTCCTGCCCTCTGCAAAAACCCAGAAGGGGGTAAACCCTTCGGACCGGACCGTCCTGCCCCCCATCTCTGCTCCCAGGAAGAAGGACATTCTGGGCCGTGGATCTTCGCTCCCCTCTAGCAGGGAGAAGCCGGTGTTCAGCCTCACACCTCTTCGTGCGGAGCTTTTCCCAGGCCACTCCGTTGACATGGTGCTGACGGGATCTTCAGACTCTCCCAAGGTGAGACAGTTTTCCCAAAAAGAGATTAACTCATGCTCTGACTTGTATAAGCACAGCCAGTGTTTGCTTGTTAGATTAGAGCAATTGTTTGTAGTTATAGATGAAGGTCGTCCCTGCCTTGTTTTGGAATTGAAATACAAATCCTTCTTCTGGTATACAAAGCTCTTAATGGTCTGGCACCCTCTTTATCTTTTATCTTTAAATGTTTTCTTAAATGGAATAACTGTCACTAAATCCAATTTCCCCTAGTATAGGTCAGGTGTTCTGATTCTGACATAACTTATTCTCTATTGTTTCATGTTCCTGTGCCCTAAGGTTCTCTACAACAGGGTTTTTAAATATTCTTAATGTCCCCCAAATAAAAAGGGTGAAGCAGCTTTTATCTACTACGTTCCCAAACTCAGAAATATTAGATTCAGTCAACATTTTTAAACAATAGCTGAAAATGCACTTTTTTTTTTATTAACTTAACTTAACCTTAACTTATGTATTCATTTTGTCTTAGGTCTTTCTTAGTTTACCTGACTGCGTTATTCGTGGTTAACTTCTGGATTACTTTATTTTATAAACCGTTTTGCCTATTTGACCTCCTTGTATTCTATGGAATCAGGTACACATGCTGCATATGTGCCAATAGGTTTTAACATTTGACTTGAATTTAATGTCTTATCAATTTGTTGAAACACTTGCATATTGTGCATGAAAAGTGCCAATAAAATACATCTTTATTATTAATATAGTTGTGTTCCTCAGCTTGTACGTGAGCGCCTGGTATGCCATGGCATTGTGGGTAACCAGGGCACGAAGGAGCTCATCATGTCTGTAGATGTCACCTGTCGCTTTGTGGCTCCTATGCTCAGCATCTCCTCCAAGCAGCTGAAATTCTACATAGAGAAGGTTGGTCAAAAGATCATTTGTCTTAATTTAGCTAATATATCTTGCAGTAAATGTCCCTACATTATCACATCTTTTATATATTTTTTCAAAAACCAGATGTATTCTTGACAATACAGCTGAATTGTTAATAGTTTACTAATAATTTAAGCAACCCTGTACAGGTTATTGAAGGCTGTTTTAATTGTATAAGATGAAATTGTGTAAGTAAGTCTTTCATAAGATTCTTGTTCCGAAAAGATGTTGTTAAATTGTTGGATTAATTATATATATCTCACAGGTTCCAGGACAGAGTCTTACGCCGCTATTTGAGAAGCTGATCTTGGAGAATGTGTCATCTCTGCCTCTGTACATGGAGCTCTCTCTGGTAGAGCCCTTCTCCCTGTGTGAGGCCTCTGGAGCCCATATCAGAGCCACCACCAAGGTACACACCTCTCCCTTCAATTGAAATATTATATCCATTGACCACCTCATCCAAATGTCCTTTGCTATCATAGCTTCTTATATCTCAAAAACAAACTTTTAATTATCAAACTGAATAATTGTAAGGAGACAGGAGGTGTGTAGGTGCCAAGGGAAATCCTCATATGTATGGCATGGGCTTAGCATAAAGCAGTGGTTCTCAAACTTTTTCTGTCAGGCCCCCCCTTTGGAGAAAAAAAAAAGTCGGGCTCCCCCAACACAAACAGTCAGGATCAGTGGCGGCGCCAGAGATTTATTTTTGGGGTGCTGTGGGGTAGCTTGACATTTCATAGAGGGTGCTCAAACATTTAGGGTTTCCCATTAATGTACCGGTCGCTACAGTGGAATTTTCTACTGCAACACTCCCCACGCAAATACACAATGTACCCGCGACTGTTACAATGAAGGCTCGATAATCAGCTCACGGCATATAGGTGTAAGCAGGGGTAAAGTGCTATTTTTATAGGTGGTGTGTGGACCTCACATAGGGGGGTCCGGGGGCAAGCTCCCCCGGGAAGATTTATTTTTAAATATTGAAATTAACCTGTTACGCACCGCCCCCCCGCTACCGGGCGGATAAACCCGTCATTTGCAGGAAACAACGTCTAAGGAATCTTAATATTTAATAAACTATGAATGTTTTATATCCATGTAACGGGAAGAAACTCAGCTAACTGATCTTTTTAATTTGCTAACACTCAGCCTCTGAATTAGCCACGAGCGAAAAAATTTAACCTAAAACTGCAGCTAAACTCACTCATAACTCCCTTATTACTTATCCTAGATGCACAACCAACCCATCGATTAGCATCTCCTGGAGACACAGAATCTGTGTAAAAAACCTCAACACTCAGTGATAAACATTTGCGACGCTATAAACGAAAGCGTACATCAGAACATGTGGAGCTAGGTAGCTAGAAACGCTAACATGGCTTACCTTGGTCAAAACTGGTCTTCAATGGCATTAAAACGATAAAAAAACGATGCTGCAGTTAATCCATAGGTTAATCCAATGTGTCTGTGTCCTCTTTGAAATGATTTCTGATAATCCATAAGCAATAAAACTACTTTTTCGTTTTCCAAATGTCAGAGCGAGAGATCGGTCCACTCTGGTGCAAAATTACATGTGCGAAGCCCCCACCTCTTCTCTTCACAACGTGTGTGTGTGGGACTCCCCCTTTGATTCTATTGGCTCTAACGGTCAGAAAGAGGTGTCAACCATCAAAATCGACCAAGGGGGGCCAGAGATATGGAAAGAAAAACATTTTCACCCAAATCACCTCAGAGGTGGAGTGGTTTTGGCTAAACCTCTCTAAAAAGGTCAAATTTCACTTGTTTTGCATCAATCTTGATACAGGGTACTTATTATATGTTGTACTTTGGATTCCTAAAGCTTTTAGTCTACTAACCCATCATCCAAGGGTAGTTTTCACTATAAGTAAAAAAGAATTTTTGGACGGACACTATAATTTACAGTTTTGTATGTAAAATCTGAATTTTCTTTAAAATAAAAAACATCTATATTGATTCTGACACTTCTACATCCAACTCACAGATGTAACCTTGCTTTGATAAAAGAAATTATTCATATAACCCTTTTAGAAGTTAAGTTGTAGTCATTTGTTTTGGGCATGTCATTTTCGAGCCTGAAACATGAAAAACAGGCTTGGTGCTTAACAGGTTAAAAGCATCAATCTGGTGCACTTTTTTATAACTATAATGATCATATAAACGTGTGCCTCGGAAATAATTGTTTACATTAATCGTGACCAAAACGTTTGAGACCCACTGAGATAACTTGACTAAAATTAACTATCTAAACACGCAGAGAGTCCTTTAGTTCACTGAGTCTCTCAGTCTGACAGGAGAGGACTCTCCTCGACTTTGTTGTTGAAAAAACTCCTTATATCCGTTAGCGTAGCTCGCTAGCACCAGCAGCTAACAACAACGATCTCCGGTACCGGTGCGCTCTCTCTCTCTCGCTCGCGCACGCTCACAAAATGGCTCGTTCCACACACACACAGAGCTGAGCTTTAATGAAACACAGAGACCCAGACGTAATAGTACTGTACTGTATCATATTATTTTCGAATCAATAATTTTGAAATTATGATTTATTTATTTTTATCTTTTTTTAATTTATTTTTTAATAACCATGTTTCCTCCTGGTCTCTCGCGCCACCCCTGTCATGCCTCTGCCCCCCCCAGGAAAAGACAGGAGGAAGGATTTGTTCTTTACGGAAAAGTCCCTGTTGTTTAGTTCTGCTCCTACAATGGGGAATTGTGAGGCATCGTTAAGACAATCAGTGATCATTACGTTTATTTTAAAATGAATGTTGTAGCTCCCTCCATTAATAGACATGAGGCAAGAGGTCTTAATACAAAAACTGGGTTTATTCCATAAAATGCCAATCGGTGAGACCTGTTATGAAACAAAAATAAAAGAAATAGATACAATAAATCAAAATGCATGTATTTTTACAAATGACTATTTATGCTGCTTAAGCTGTAGAATAGGCAGCATAAAGCTAAAAAGTGTCGAGCATTTCGCATAAGCTAACACACACACACACACGCACACGCACACGCACACGCACACGCACACGCACACACACGCACATACACACATAACTTGCAGCTTACCAATATAAACTTACTTGAAATTAAATAAGCATTCCTCATAGTCTGCTTATTACTTTGTGTATTCAGAGATTCCTTTTTTTATTTAAAGGAGACCTATCATGCTATATTTGAATAATATATTGTAGGGCCATACCTATATAAGGTATATTTATACGTTTTCTTTTTCAAAATACAGATCATGCATTTTAGCCATGCCTCATTTCGCTCTATTTTGCTCTCCTCCACCCCTGTCTTTGCATGCGCTGCAGCTGACCACGCCCCCCTGCAAAGGAGGGGGCCGAGTTACGAGCGTCATGTTACCATGCTGTTACCATGCTGTTACCATGCCACGGCAACCTCTCATTCCCCTGATTGGTGGAGAGTTGGCCATATGACGTCAGACTATCAAATCTGTATCAGTCTGTATCAGATCCGTTGCAGCCCTGTTTTTAGAGATTTTGGGTATGGAGGAAAAGAGAGAGGGTTGTGTTTTCTGACACTTGGTGAGTTCCCTGACACACCGGGGACACATATTAATGTATAAAAGACGTACAAAGGTGCATTTTGCATGATAGGTCCCCTTTAAGGAATTTTATTTGCAAATCTGTTTTATATTTGCACATTATTTGACTTTTATTATTATTTGACGTTTTTGCCTTAGTGTAAGGTGTTTTACTTTTATAGATTATCCATTAAAAAACAAATAGTAAATCTGTTCATTCAAATAATATTGAGACAAATCTACCTTTTATAGAAATGTCGCACTCAGAGAAAGGACTAAAGTAAAAAGAAGTAATTTATGGCGGGGACATCTATTCCTTGGGGCGTTACTGTAATGTGTGCAGGCATACATTTTAAGTGCACTTTGACAGTGTTTGTGTATTTATTCTCACTGTTCCAGAGGGTAGACAAATGTTTCCCACTACAGCTTTAAAAAGGGTCTAAAACTAAATGATGTCCAGGTGGCAATGAGAATTTCAACAATAGTATTACTTCCTAAAAAGGGGAACTTCTGAAATGCTCATGCTTAAGGCACTAATAACTCAGTGGAATTATGGGTAACTGTCCATTTATCCTATTGTGGGGACACATGAATAACAACCTCAGCTAATGTATTGGTCTAGGTTATTGTGTTACTGTTAGCCATAAACTCTCTACTGTAAATGTTGCTTTCCTTCATGATTCATTGCTGTTATTTGCCTAAACCTTTATGATGACTCACACTCAGTGGATTCATTATGAGAACAAACTGTTGAACTGTTAATGAAGTTCTGTTTATATGTTACCATAAATCCCATGTTTTAATTTGATCACAGATTCTGAGAGTTGATTTAAATATGGTAGTAAAATCTGCATTGAAATGGTTTAAGCCCCTGGCAGGTTTCGGATGATGTTTTGATAAGCCTTGGTCCCATTACAGGCTTACAGTAACTGTTTCATTAAACTATGGGAAGGTTATTAAAAGCGTTGTGAACTTAGGCGTTAGGAGTCATCAGATAGAAAACATAATGATTTTCCATCAGGCTTGCAAGACCAGATTCTCAACAACAAAAAAGTTAAGTTGAAGAACCACTCTCATGTGTTGATAAGTATACCTACTAACTAATCCAAAGAAAGTGTGATACTTGAAACTATTTTACAGTATATATATATATAGGGGGTCACAGGTTCAAACCCCACTGCAGTCAGCATGTCGTTGTGTCCCTGAGACACTTCACCCCAAATTGCTCCTGTGGGGATTGCCCACAGTATTGAGTAAGTAAGTCGCTTTGGATAAAAGCGTCTAACAAGTGACATGTAATGTAATGTAATGTAATATATATATATAACTGCTGTCTTTATTTCCTAGTCCATGGTTTTAGGTAACGGGAGAAAGGCTGAGTTGTGGGTATGCTTCGATCCATCTTACTGCCGGGATCGGGTGTCACAAGTCATGGATGAGGTAACAGTGATGCATTTTCATTCAGTAGAAATTCCGGTAACACTTTATATTAAGGTACACAAATTAACCATCAACTAGCTGTTCATTAACATGCATATTAGCAGTATATTGGCTCTTTATTAGTCATTATAAAACATAATGCCTTATTCTACATGACCATATTCTACAAGTAATAAGCCATTATTTGAGAGTTTTTCCTCAATAACCCTCTAATTAGTGCTTATTTGTTGCAAGTAAGGAAGTTGTTGTACATGAGTTTTGGTCTTAATATGCACTGCTCAATATGGGCCTAATAAGGCAGTAGTACCACAAGAAAAGTAATTCTCCCATAATAACACTTAACAAATATGATCTATTCTTATGTAACAAGACATGAAACTATAAGTGTTAATTGTGTCTAAATAACTCAAAATTAGGTATTTATATCTAAGAACATGTTCCCTATTTTAAAGTGAAGTCTTGTTCATAACCAATAAGCTAGTAGTTTGACTCTAATTGACCTGTACAACTTCCTTACTTGCAACAAATAAGCACTAATTAGAGGGTTATTGAGGAACTCTCAACTAATGGCTTATTACTTGTAGAATATGGTCATGTAGAATAAGGCATTAATAAGTGTTTTATAATGACTAATAAAGAGCCAATATACTGCTAATATGCATGTTAATTAACAACTAGTTGATGGTTAATTTGTGTACTTTAATATAAAGTGTTACCGAAATTCCTAAATAATGCTGTGTGTTCATCTGGGTTCATATATTCTTTACATTCTTTGACATAATATTTATTGACACTCTCACTGAGGTTATTAATAAATCAGAATCCCTGCTTGCGCTTTCAAAGTCCTTCACATTCAAACTCGTCTGAAAAAATAAGATTGAAACCCTAACTCCCTGCATGATTTTAAACCAATTTCCAAACTGCCCTTTTTTTCTACATTTCTGGATCAAGTTGGCTGAACAATTCATTGCTAAAGTGACTCTTTGAGCCATTTCGGCCTTGATTTGGTCAAATCACAAAAAAGACTCGTTCCTTAGTGTGATGAATGTCCTGCTGCTTGCAACTGATGCCACTTAAGTTGTATTTCTTTTAGATCTAAGTGCTGCATTTGATACTGTTACCCATTCATTTTTATTTAAACTTGTCAAACATTTCTGGGTCAGTATTAAAATGTTTTTATTTCTACTGACAACACAGATCTTCACTGAAGTCATTGGCAACTCATGGTAATTCTATGCAAAAATGACTACGGTGTACCCCAGGTGTTGTTCATCGGACCACTCTTGTTCTCTCTAAACCTGCCACCCCCCCAGGCATGTCATACACAGGCATTATATGTGCTTGCCTTCCGGTTTATCTATGGGTTTAGAACATTTTTCTGAAACATTTCGTAGCTCCCTTTCTTGAAAATGCATGGTCACAAGGCAAAAATACTGAGCTGTTTTTGTTATGAAAATACAACTTTTTAGAGGTATGTGGATCCCGCAGCATACCGATCTAATCCCATAATGGTTTTATATGCCGATGATATGATTCATGACTATAGACCAAATGACCCAGCAGTAGGTGAAGAAGGTAAAATGCATCATGCCAGAGTCATGTTTATCCAGAAACATCAAATATTATAGTAAAGCACTTTCGGGAACCATGTTTCTGCAGATTGAGTTCTTTTAAATCTTTAAAAACATTTTTTCGTATTACTTATATTCTTTTAAATAAGTTAGGTTTTGAATTTGGAAGAGTATTTTCAGTGTCATATAGTTTAAGCAAACAAAGAAACTAGGAAAGTGAAATCGATTGACTTACTTTCCCCATTGAAATGTTTAACTTAGATATGATGTATTTTGGACAAAATGTTGACATTTTTCTTTCCCCAGGTCCTTGAGCTACACTACCGGGGACACCCGCAGAGGGACATTGTGGCGCTGCATGCTGAGGTCCAATTCTCCAACCTTCGCTTTTCCTCCACCACAGTGGACTTTGGGTGTGTGCTTAACTGCACGGGGAGTCGTAGAGAGATCTCGATTACCAACTCCTCCCCGCTGCCCGTGTCCTACCGTTGGGCTTTCCTGGAGGACCAGAAACACTATGCCATAAGGTATTTTTACACTGAGATGTCCACACAGGGCCATAGCAGTTTGAAGTTTGCATCAGTTTAAACAGCACATTCCTCTCCTGATACACTTTAAATGATTCACCTCTAAAGTTACAACCATATGAAAGAATATAGCAAGGGAGGTCAAAAAAGTTAAGTTAGTAGTGAGGCGTGCTGCATACTCCTTGCTTACATGTTCTACTTTGAGTCCAATAGAGTGATGCAGGATCGAAACCTTAAACCTACAAATGAGTTCCAACTTCTAGTTCCCTTCTTTTGAGGTTTACAGTTTTTGGTTCGACTCCTGAAATAAGTCATTACACTAAAGACGAGTCCGCTTGTAGCTTAGCATTGGTGACATGAAGTCACGTGACTTGGATGTCATATACTTTTTTTTTTCTAATGGAATCCAATGGTGAAATCCCATTGCTTCATGTTGAGGGACCCCTTGCCATGCTCAAATCTGGGTCAGTCTACAACATAATGCTACTACTTCTCGACTTTATAAGAAGTATAGCAAAATGTAGTGCACTATGAGAACCTGGATGATGCCCTCATAACATTCAAAAAGTTGAGTGTGGAATGCTAGCCTACTTTTAAAAGTTATACATAAAGTTTTTTAATACTTTTAAGACACGTACCACTATACTAGTGTCGAAAATATACCACTTTTGATTTGAGTGGGTTAATTAAACAGTATTTGCAACCTCAAACAATAATGTTGCTTGCTAGCTAACAGTGCCAATTGCCACTTCAAGTGAGCGCACAGCAGCCGTAAGTGATTTGCGACAACTCGCTACAGTGTCCACAGTTGGTGACATGGCAGTGTGCTGAGAAGAAACAGCATTTATTTGTATTTATTTTATGAATGGAATATGGAACATACATCCTTTTGATTGTTTCTGTCATTGTGTTGTAGGACTAAAGTGCACTAAAGCTCCCTTACTCTGTAAAACCAGCAGAAATACTGCTCCTTGATTCCTGTGCAACACACTTTATTTTGTTGGAACAAAACATTGTTTGGAACAGCAGTAACCTGAACAGACAAGATTCAGGGACAAGCACAGAATGGATCTCGGCCATATATTTCCCATAGCGATGAGTTAGTACAGTAGCTATACATTTAACCTCTGAATTGAAAGCCAAATCCATTATAAATTCTCTGGGGAAGACAAATCTACTGATTGTGTACTTAACGTTCCACTGTGCTTCTCTCAGGCCTTTGCTCTGGCTCCCCTCCCTTGAAATGGACTGTGAACACTATAGTAGTGTGTCCATGCTCATGGCCATGAACCAACTAACTGCTAGAGCTCTGCAAGATTTATCACCCTCTTCCACCTTATTCCCTTCCCCCTCTTTCCTCTGTTGGTATTCTTCCCATTTGCTCCCCTCCCTGTCCTCATCTTAGGGTTATACATTGCCTATTTATCTCTCCTTTTTCACTCCTCTACCTCTTCTGCCTTTGCTTCTTCAGGCTACCAAATCCTTATCAAACTCTTCTTTTTCTTTGTGACCTCTCCTAACAATCTGTCTCATAGGCCGTCCTGCTAATTAAATGGAGACCTCACTCTGCATGCACACTCTCCCTCTAAAGTCTCTCTTTGTCCCTCACTAAACCTGCACTATCTAGCCATGTTTAGCTAATTACATCCCTATCAGTAATTGCACCACAGCCCTTAGGAGCCCTTCAATATAACTCTTTTTTTCTCGCCATCTATCACACTGATAGATAGACGATACAATACATTTTAATTTTGCAACTTCTCAGTCTTGAAGAGTTGGTATCAGTCAAAAGAAAACTGGAAATCTTAGGCGTACTATATCTTTGATTTGCACTGTACCTACCTGCATTCATGCTGGACTATAACCGCCAACAGTTGACAACTCTTAAAAACACATTGAAGAAACATCTTCACCAACTTGACAACCAATGTGCATCATTTAGAAAACATTCACCAACCTGACAAAACATGCGCAACGATTACTGCAAGCTCTGCATTAAAGAAACGCTGCAAATAGAAAACACTGCAAGAAGATAAAAACACAACGGAAAAACGGGGACACTAAAAAGTAACGGTTAAGTGACAGTTGGCCAACTTTATAATCCCCGAACATCAACAGGCGCTTCGGAACTTTCAGTCTCCCCGTTCCAATGTGTTTTGAGCTTCTTGCAGCATTTTTGATTTCCAGCGTTTTGTATTTGCAGTGTTTCGTTTACGCAGCGCTTTTATTAAACGCTGTGCACGTTTCGTCAAGTTGGTAAACATTTTTCACATGTTGTCAAGTTGGTGAAGATGTTTCCTAATTTGCATTTGTTTGGCCCATTTGCGTTTTCATATTTGCATTGTTTGTAAAGCTGCAGTGCATTTCTCCTAATGGAAATATTTGTGGCCGTTGCAACGTGTTTGTACCTGTCGGCCTCCGTTTATATCAGACTGATCACTCACAACTAATAATTACAGATGCATGAGAGGAAGTGGAAACTGAGGTATACAGGGATTAACTGGCCAGATAAAGATTAGAATGTGTGAGAGGCACTATGATGTTGCAGATAGTCAAACTACTTTAGACTGTTGGTTTATTTAGGAAGAAGAAAAACAAATCTTGAAACTGATTTGTTTTATTACACATTTTTACACATTCATTTTGTGTGCATTGTTTTTACCCAAAAATGCACACAAAAGCACAAATAGGACCTATATACATGGATTCATTCATTATAATTAATGAAGAAACGTCAGAGCGAGGGGGCTGCCTATGGACTGGATGCAGTATTGGGTTCGGTGCCTTGCTCAAGGGCACCTCGGCAGTGCCTGGGAGGTTAACTGGTGACCTTCTGGTTATCTCTCGCTCTCTTAATCTCAAATTCAAATTCTTTATTTGCATGACCTTAATGACACACAGTTTTGCCAAAGCTTTATACAATTACAACAAACACCTATACATAGATATACATTTGAAATATATTGTTGTGTTCATATACATTTGGAACAAAAGCAGAATAAAAGGTAAAACAATGTACTTTTTTTTAACATGACCAAACAAATATTAAAGTAAAAGAAAATACACCCAACCCCTTTCCTTTCCTGAAGCCCGTAAAAAGAAAAAAAAAGGCAACAACATGAACCATAAGGGTGAATTATTGATTATTATGCAGGATATTTCAGATACACATATGACACATCAATAAAAAGAAAATAGATGTGAGGTCTGGTGTCAGTCTGATCCCTCATGTCTCACACACACACACACACACACACACACACACACACACGCACACGCACACGCACACGCACACGCACACGCACGCGCACGCACACGCACACGCACACACACACACACACACACACACACACACACACACACACACACACACACACACACACACACACACACACACACACACACACACACACACGCTGTCTGACAGCAACCTCAGAAGCCATTTGTCTCTACTAGTGGGCTGGAAGTACAGTGTTTGTGATTCAGTCGTTTTTGTTGTTCAGATCTTTAGTGACACTGAGGACAGGAAAGCCGTCAAACACAGTCACACCCCCCCATGAAGAAAAGAATAGAAGGAAGAGAGAAAGGGGAAAGTCAGAGAGCGCTATTTCTGTTTTGAGCTGCTGCCTTGCAAAGTCATCAACTGCTGTCTCACCATCTGTTCCTCTGTCCGCACCAGTGGCTTTCAAACACTCTCTTTTTTTCGTTTTTTCGTTTTTTGTAGACTCGTAGAAACTCTCATCCACTAAAAATGCAAACTATTTTTGAATACATTGACCCACAGTATTTGTTCGCCCTCGTCTTACATAGCTGGATAATACTCATTTGTGATTTCCCCAAGGCCACACATCAGGCCAGCTTGTCCCTTAAACACGCATTCAACACACACTCACCATACAACAGTGCCCCCTGCTGGCTAAATCACTACTATCCACTCATTACAAGCTGACACATCAGAACTGTGGCATTCTTGGGAACTAAATAACTAATGTGTCAGACTTGAATGCTGCCTAACATGTAAAGTATACACACCCTGAAGCTAACACACACAAAACACACACTATGGCTATATACATAACCAGTCTTGGGTGATTTAATTTAGACCTTGTCCAGCCCTGCTTTAAGATGACTTCACTCACTAAATCTCTTTCATTCTCTTCCATGTTTATTCAGCACTTCACTGCAATCTATCCTGACCTGTTTCCTGCTGCTTGCCTATTCAAATTCCTCTTAAATATAGAACACTCTGTTTAATTAACTTGATGGATGCCCCCAGTCTGATCCCACAGGGAAGGGGAGGGTAGAACAGAGAGAGAAAATAAGTGTCAGAGTTCTGAGGAGTGTAGCTATATATATTATGTATATATGCTACTGATGCCAATGTCTTCTGTTTATTTTATGTTATTTATTTCCTTTTTTGCCAGGGACACAAACACATCTTTATTTTTTAAAGAAATATGAACTTCTATAAGGTATTTTAGCCCTTTATTATACTAACTCTTGATGAGCACAAGTTCCTAAAAATAACTATTCCAAAAGCCTCTTTAGCCGACTACACAATACCAACTCAAAGAGACCAGTGGCAGTGTTAGAATTTCTGGTATGTCTTTTATATCATACTCTATTATTACACGTCATTTTTTATAATAACAGGATATATTTAATAGTACTTCCCTTTCCTGTAGTGTGATATATATGCTTTTGTTTATGTAAATGGTCTACAAAGGCTTTGTTTACTTACGTAATATACTGTGGTGACATCATTATGTAACACTCATGCTTCTATTGGCTAGCGCTCCAACACATTGTACTTGATAGGCTACGGGGCGGGACATCTCTAAGCGGTTGACCAATAGAGTGCCACAGTGACGCACGCGTCCTAAAACCCGGAAGTAATCTATCGATCATAAATCTATCCATTAGATTTATGATTAGAACATTATAAAAGTAGGGTAGACATGTGGAGATTATCCGACTGAACAAAACGTGATCCGTCTCTTAAATGTGTTTCAACCACAGACCTTATTTCCAGCTATTTTCCAAAATCCTATGGAGAAATTGCATTGCTTTTTTGTCGAAGGAACCCATGCGCAGCTTACTTCCAGGTTTTAGGACGCGTCACTGTGGCACTCTATAACAAGAGAGCCGGCCCGCTCACTGATCAGAGCAGACTGGGCTCTGGTTTCAGACAGAGGGTGAAAAGAGGTGCTGCAGCACAGGCAGTATGAGAAAAATAAAATACATTTTTGAACATTAAACATGTCGCAGTAGAGGCACAAATGACAAATATGAACCTAAACATTTGAATAATATGTATAACGAGACATCTCTAACAGTAATTACGCCATATAACAGTCATATTGCCATGCAAAACAGAAACCTCGGATACTTCCAATGAAAAATGACCAATGTGCTGAAGAAAGAAAACAGGATAGAAATACAGTAGAACATAGAGCGAGGCAATTGTGCACATATAAACAATAAATGCTTATGTAATTTGGTGTTGGTTGCATATGTGTTACTCTACTACCTCATAGTATTCTTGAGGCTTTCAATTCTCTTGAAGACAGTTTCATATATTTGTATTGACTCTTATAATTGGTTTCCCCTGTTTGTTATCCATTGGATGTCTGTTTACGTAGCCTAACTGTCGTTGTGGGGAAAATACAAACTCAGGTATACTTCATGGGTGTTTTATTATTATTTTGCCTTCACAGGGACACAGAGATGGTGGAGAAAGAGAAGGAGCAGAGAAATCCAGAAAATCCGACTGGAGAAGGGAGGAGTTCCTCTAGGACGCGTTCTCGTGCCTCTTCAGTTCCCCTCAGCCACAGGCCTGCTGCAGATGAAGAGAGCTGCAAACAGCGCCCTGTGGGTGTGGAAGAGGTAGGCAAATGCTCATGGGTAAACAAATAATGGTTCTCCTGAGATTTTCAGTTGTCAGGGGATGGTCAGAGCCGGTGGCTAGTCATTCCCTTTCTCTATGCTCGTCTCTGTCGAGGGAGAAAACATGTAAATACCAGTGGTGTAATGTAATTAGGTACATTTACTCAAATATTGTAATTAAGTAAAATGTTGAGGTACTTTACTTGAGTATTTTCATTTTATGCTACTTCATACTACTACTTCTCTACATTTCCGAAGCCAATATCATAATATTTACTTCATTACATTTCTTAAACAGCTTTAGTTTCTTTACAGATTCAGATATTCAGCTAATACAAAGTAAAAAATCAAATATAAATAAACATTGACAAATATACAGTAATCATAAGTTAATATATCTAGCAGCAGTATATCAAGTCATTAATGCGAGCCTTGCATTTAACCCTCTTTGACACGCATTAATGCATCAGTAACCATAATCGACTAATCTATTCTGAAATGGGCCATTATGCATAACAAGAATTTCTATACTTGGGACTTTAGGTATATTTTGAAAACAATTTAAATTTTACTCAAGCAATATTTTTGAATGCATGATTATTACATGTAACAGAGTATTTTTAAATGTTTGTATTGTTACTTTAACTAGTTAAAAATGGTATTCTACCACTGGCATATCTTGCATTAGAAACCTCCATGTGAAGATTTCTCCCTCTATTGTCAGCTTGCAGAATATCTTTCTACTCTCGTTATAGTTTGATATAATACAATGTTGAGAATCTCATCCAAGTCTAAAGCAGTCATCATGATATTTTCCTCATTTATAACATGCTTGCTAAAAGTGCCTGAACCAGGCCAAGACATAGTCCAGCACCAAAACACAGCTTATGTTTTAACACTTAAAAAAATCAGAAAACAGACCTCTTGCTCTCGTAACTCATGACAATAGAGTGTATAGGAACAAGTCCCAAAAAAACTAACTTTCCCTTTTTGGGGAGGGTCACTATTGGCAGAATCTTTTATCTCGTAAGTTCCACTTTTTTACGTTTTTGTGTCTGTAGGTGTTCGATATCTTGCCGATATACGGTCATCTGCAACCTGGGGAACAGCAGCAGGTCGTTTTCTCTTTTTACGGCCACGAAAATGTCAGCAGAGAGGTTGTGGCACGCTGCCATGTGGAGGATGGGCCAACGTATGAAGTGAAACTCAGAGGAGAAGCTTCAGTGATCAGCTACAGCCTTGACTCTACACATATTGATTTTGGTCTGCAGGTATGTATCCTGCACAGTTCTCCATTATCTAGACTATTTATTCTCAGTTCTTTATCCTTACCAGCTCCAACAATCAAACAAATAACAATGGTAGTCAATGTCATTTTTTGGTTTAATCCCAGTTAAAGGTTCTTGAACATATTGGCCCAATGCCAAGCCAACCCCTACATTAAGTGCCATTCCAAACCAACTAGTGTGGAGAGGAACAAGTAGCTCATTAACATCAGATTTGACACAAAGAGTTTTTAAAAACCGGATTTCATTTTTACAAAACAATGTTCTTTTTCCAGCAGAAAGCATAGTTTCATAGGCGAGTTCATCACAGTTATAGTATGAGGGTGTACGATTCATCTTGGAATTGGACCATTATCTTCAGTGACTGTTGTGTTAAACATCTGTTTCCTAGTCAGTAGCATTAAACATTTGTCTTTGCTAATGTTCCAAATGAAACTGCTGTGACACAAAAATGAATCTAGACTTTATCCAACGCTAAAGTACTTTTATTCAGATGACCCTAACCCATACAAACTCTTGTTTCTATTGGAGAGTTCTCCAACACATTGTACAGTGTTAAGGGGCGGGACATCTTTAAGCTGTTGACCAATCATAACGGAGCGGGCCAGCTAACCAATCAGAGCAGACTGGGATTTTGTTTCAGACAGAGGGTGGTACACAGAATACCAGTGGTAACTGTGAAAGGCTTTATGTGGGAAATAAATGAAAGTATATGAAATGTTGCAGTAGAGGCACAAATCCAAATATGAACCTGAAAATGAGCAGGGCCCCTTTAACGCTAGGATAGTGGCCATGATGTGAAACTCTCCTTTGTTTTAAGCTACATTATCTTGTTGTACTGTCACCCTGCCTTTCTTATCCTTGTTCTTCTTTGGCCATCTGTTTGCTCACCCGTGTGTGACACATTATACTTCATACAAATCTAATGACAAATCTTTGGCTAGTGATGCATTCCAACATTTTCAAAATGACAAGCCTGGGGGTACAATGACAGATGTGTTAGTAATTGCAGATGAAGATGTGTTTGCTGCATTTATAGTTTGTTTCATGATCATTAGCTTTTGCTTACTGTTAGTGTTTTCACTAGGATGTCATTTCTTTCCCATTACTTTTTATTATCAGATAATCTAATGCTGAGGGTGTATAAGGATCATTAGGATGCACATTGTATAAAGACGTTTATAAAAGGTTATGTAAAGGTTTATTTCACTCACTAGACAAAAGAAGGTGAGAGGGATCACATTAAATCTGAATGTCACTGCTTAGTTTTTCCCACTTTGGTCTTTTGTGCTCCCAATCCCTCTTTAAGTATGCAAGCCGTTGGGACCGGTTATCATTGATATTCAAAACAAGGACATATTGATTTTTGATTTAGTTGAAATGAGCGATTCAGCAGAACATCTCACTGACCTTCCTGTTCCTTCAGCACTATTATTTCTCCTGCTTTCTTTTCTCTATTGTTGTCTCTCTCCATCCCTTTTGCCCTGTGTTCTTCTCTTGTAGTCAATTAGATTCGTTGATATAAATCAAATACTGAAACAACTCCCCTTCATGCATGCCCAAGTGACACTCTTTGAAATCGCTTTTCTTGTCATCTCTCTGTGTCTTACTTTCTTTCACTTGTAACGCTTTAAATACACATTCCATTGTTCTCCTTATCTTCTGTTAATCTTCTTTATTAATATATTGTCATGATAATTATTATCATGAACCGCAGAGTTCAAACTGAGGCCATCATCTTGCATGCTTCTTTAGAAAACTTTTATGTTTTTTCTGCACTGTCACCTCTATACACAGCCTTAAAGACACTAGGGGGCATGGTTTGACCAAATCCTTCTGCTTAGCATAAAGCTGATTCACATTCTTTTCAATGAGAATAAAAGTGCTGACAGTTTAAAAAGCAGTGTTTTATTCTCCAGCTGTTTGATCACGAAGGGGAGGCGGAGGTGACCCTGAGGAACACTGGCAGGATGGGCTTCACATTTAACATCATATACCCCAAAAGGGAGGATGAGGAGGCAGGTGAGGAGGCAGGACAGAAGAAGGCCCAGGTAGAGGAGCAAACTGAGAACGGACAGGAAGTGAGACCAGGGCAACCCATGGTCACCCCCACTGAGGTGAGTTCATCTTTGGGCTCTTTCAACCCTTAAGGGACAAATCACATATAAGTATTTGGGAACATTAATTGATTGCTATTTTCTACATTACAACCATATAACACTTTGATTACACCCATATAACATATAGAATACACCCCTATTGCACCTGGATTACACCCGTGACACCATTTTTATACCTGTATTACACCCTTATTATACCTATGATACACTATTATTGCACCTGTATACTTCACCAATAATATACCCATGATACAAATACACTATAATTACACTGGTATTACACCCATTTTACACGTGGGCACAGCCTGTCAAATGACTGTACCCCCCAGGATACAGAAACCGTTAAGCAGCAGAGAAATGTTTCATGTGCACAAGACGATGGAAATGTGAATAGTCTTTGGGGATTAGACCCCACCATGATATCATATATCTTGAGGGGGAGGTGCAGCCTTAAATAGAATAAGAACCCTCCCCCCCCCCCCCTGGGTATTAAGGAAGAGGTTGCTGAAGATCAGGAGTGGACTTCTAATGAGCTTAATCTTGGCACTGGGGGTGGAATGGTCGTAAGAGGGCCGCATCTATACGTCTGAAATGAAAGGTGTGCAAAGAGAGGAGATCAGATTGGAAGTCTGACGGTATAGGATGATTGGCTGTCAGAGATCGTTGCAAAATGTAATTGTTCAAATAAACCCTATAATGCTTTCGGGGTTCTCCCTTACCTGTAGTATGTTAGATATGTCTTTGTGCATGTAAATGGTCTGCAAAGGCTACAATCCCAAAGTTCCCTCCAGAGGGAGTTTCTCTCCCACACACTCCCCCCCCCCCCCCTGTCTGAAACGTCTCCATTGGACTCCTTTGTTTACTTCCGTAAAATAATGATATCACTATTTAACCCTCGCGCTTCAGACACATTGTTTGTTGGTGGGACATTTCCGACACATCTCCAAGCAGTTAACCAATCACAGCAGATCCGGCCAGGTAACCAATCAGAGCAGACTGGGCTCTGGTTTCAGACAGAGGGTGAAAAGAGGTGCTGCAGCACAGGCAGTATGAGAAAAAGAAAGGACTTTTTGTACATTAAAGATGTCACAGTAGAGGCACAAAATACAAATATGAACTTGGGAATTACCATAATACTGTACAGTATGTCCTCTTTAATCAAAAGAGTGGACGCCTTTGATAAGCCTATTAGAGACAGCTGCAGGAATGAGATAGAGAATAAATAACGTAGGCCGTCTGCTTGATTAAACTTGCGCTGAGCTTCATTTCAACAATAAGAAATGCATTTATTACATAAAAGGCTTATTTTTCATTTGTACTATTCCCTGCGTGTGTTTTGGTGCTACAGGGTTACGTTGATGCCGGTGTAGAGCAATGTCTGCGTGTGCTGTACCTCCCTGGTGTCCCCGAGGTGTTTGAGAAGCGGCTCCAGCTGCAGGTGGCCTTCCTCCCGCCGCAGGACATCAGGCTGACCGGAGAGGGGGTGTTCCCAAGGATCACACTGAATCTTCCAAGAAACCTGTGTATGCATGAACATGACCTCATACACACAGACATGATCATATCTCTTCGTAACTAGCCAACAAGATGAATATTTAACAACTGTTTTCAAAATCTATAACTATGCTTAACAAAAAAAAAGCTATACTGTACCTGCGATAGAGTAGTGCAGGAAGGAATCCTAAAACATGGAAATGAGTTAGCATTTCACAACTTCCAGTTCCAATGCCTAAACAATCAAGGGGTGTCTTTGGTTAGATGCCTAAGGTCTGTTGTTAACACAAGCTGAAGAGAGATTTTCCCGAATGATTTAGATGAATAGACATCATCACGACGAACATTAGCTGCCTTTAGCTTAACGGTGGTGATGCACAGCCATGCCACCATGGAGTAGTACGTCTATGTTTAGCTTTTTACTTACGGCTGTTGCTTTTGCACTTCAAACCTTTTAGAAGTGGTGTTAATATGTGGAGATTATCCTGCTGAGCAAAACATTCAAGTGTCATAAATGTGTGTTTGCCACAGATCTTATTTTTTCAATACTCCAAAATCACATTGAAAAACCCCATAGCTTTTGGTTGAGGTAGTACTTCCTGGTGGGCCTACAAAAAGACCTCATCGCTGCACCACTCTGTAGACTTACTGATGTATTGTGCTTAACTGTATATTATAATTGCCCAAATGAAATGATGGTGTCAGGTGAAGCCACTGTGGCTCCCACAGTATTCCTGAAAAGCATGTCTCCATACCAACAAATATTGAGACATATAACTGGTGTAATTGTTGTGGTGCTGTGATTCCCTTGCAGCAGAGGAGTGCTACCGTGATGTGGTGCAGCAGGCCGGAGCAGCGGTGGAGGCCGACAGAGTCAAAGAGGAGCTTATGACCGCTGGTGGAGGAGCACCGACCGAGGCCAACTGCACCCCCACAGTCAGTGACTAAGATAAACATTTTATGCAATGAAACGTCATGTAGGTTACTAGTAAGCATACTTTATGTAGTGTGTAATGTTTCAATGTCTTGTTGTAGTACAAGAGAAATTAGGGATTCTAGAGAGAGTAAAAGCAATCTATTATAACATTTCTCCTTAATTTACTTTACTTAATTTAATGTGTAATTAGATAATGCATCATTAGCATATTTAAACATAACATTTCAGAAAAGAATACAAGAGAAATCCTCTCCTGGAGTAAAATAAAGTTAATATGTATTCACCCTATTCAGCCGTAGTGTCTTGCAAAATGTATGGAATTTGAATACATATCCAAAAAGACAGTTTTCTCATACCAGAAATACCCACTTGAGTAGCAATTACATCATCCAAATTCCGTTTTTGTATACATCGAAATTCCAAAGGCCTGTTCATGATATATCCTTTCTTTCGTGAATTCATTGGCAAAATTCTTCTAATCACTGTATTTTCTCAATGATGTAGGGACTGTTAATTATGGAGTGATTTAAGGCAATATTCAGACTCCATTGTTCTCATTTCTGTTTTGGAAATGTATGCAAAGAAGCACACACTTAAAGGTAATGCCTCATTGTTATTTAAGCATAACGTGTAGGCTAACGTGTATTTAAAAAGAATACCTGTTGACACACAATACATTATTATTTTGGGAGGTTTCATGGTGATCTATTACTTGAATCTTTTTCAATAATGACCTGTAGTGTTTTCCCTTAAAAGGCTATTCATGCCATTGTAGTAAACATACATGCTCCAAATGTATTTTGTATCCATGTGGGTATGGCAGTGCCACTACATCACAGCTGTGATTAATATTCTGAAAGGCCTTACCTGCTTCTTATCTGTGTATTGATTTCCTGGGGAGTAAACAAGAACCGTTGCATAACAATAGAGATAGCTGTTGTGAAGCTTATCCACTCAGTGTCTACTCATGGATTTGTGTGTTGCCTCAACCACATCCTGGACACTTTCATCTAAATTCACCGAATAAGTTAACGCTCTTATCCGTATATTCAAGATCAAATAAAATAAAGTGTATAACAAAAAACACTTTACTTAGTGCAAGTGATCAACTGGGGGTAGGGTTGGGAACCGAAACTCGGTTCCAGATGAGAACCGATAAGAAAATTCCGGGTACCGGGTACCCATACAAAATACACAATTTTGGTTCTGCTTAACGGTTCCTAAACGCGGTAGACCCTGTATTCCACCGGGTCTGCCTGCGCCGCGGTGACCCGGTGGAATACAGGGTAGGCGGACTGGCCATCTGTGTGTTCTGGAGAATCACAGAATGGGCGGTCGTCAGCGGGTCGTCAGCGGGTCGTCAGCGGGCCGTTGACGGCCGGCTCGGTACCGCCCTTAATTTTTTAAAACGGCATCATGTAAGTTGCGCTGACAGGCGACAGAGGTCCACAGTTGCCCCGCAGCGAGGCTCCCCCGCCCTCCCGTAGACAGTTCACGAGCTCAGTCACTTCATAACACCAAAGATGGATCGCGGTAAACGCTCTAAAGTGAGGCTCCACTACACTAAAAAAGAAAAAGACAAGGCACAGTGTAATGCCTGTTAATAGCTTTCAGTTAAAATAAAGCACAGCTATTGTGCAATACATTTGTATTGCATGTATATTTTTTATTTGTAAAAATTTCAGTTAAAGCTTAAAAGAATAAAGATATTTTTGTTATCTAAATGTTTGACCTCTTTCTTTTACAATTTTGGAATCGAAACGGGGAATCGATAAGAACCGGAATCGATAAGCAGAACCAGAATCGATACATTTCAAACGATACCCATCCCTAACTGGGGGTTACCCCTAAGTTAAAATGTATGACGTTTTACAATACATATCTGTACATTACGCCTTTGTAACCTCGAGACTGGACTATTGCAATGCTCTGTATGTGGGTATGGACCAGGCCTCAATTAAACGCCTGCAGCTAGTCCAAAACGCAGCTGCACATTTGCTGACTGGCCACAAAAAGCGCGACCACATCACCCCTATTCTGGCCTCACTACTGGCTTCCAGTTCGGTTCAGAATTGATTTTAAAATCCTTTTATTTGTTTTTAAAGCACTAAATGGGCTGGCTCCGGCCTATATAGCTGAACTGCTCCAGCGCTACACCCCAGCCAGAGCTTTAAGGTCTGCTGACCAGCTGCTGCTGGTAGTGCCCAAGACCAGGCTCAAAACCCGAGGGCACCGAGCCTTCGCAGCAGCTGGCCCTAGGCTCTGGAACACTCTGCCCCTCCATGTGAGATCGGCCCAGACCCTAGGGGTTTTTAAATCAAAACTAAAAACACACTTCTTCTCTCTGGCTTTCTAGTTAGAGCGGAGCACGACTCCTGACTTTTCCTTGTGTTTTTATTTTTATTTTGTTTTTTATATATATCTGTTGTAATTTATTGTCGTTTATTGTGATTGTAGTAATGTGTTTTTATTACATGTACAGCACTTTGGCTCGACCAAAAATCGCTTTTAAATGTGCTTTATAAATAAAACCTGATTTGATTTGATTTGATTATAGCCTTCATCTCCCCAAAAATATCATCATATTCCAAACAAGAAATAACCATTTCTAAGTTTCATTCATTCCTATCTATATTCTATCTATATGTTTTTAATGAGGGGTTTGTTCATACAGTATACAATTCAGGCCCTAATTTATTTAACATTTTATTCTTTTTTTTATAGATTTTGACTGATTCATGGAGTGATAAAGAGAGATATCCAAAATAACCTTTGTAAATCCCTTATAAGATAATGCTCCATTTGTACTTAATCAATATGGGACGATTCATTGGGATCTATTCATTAAAATAAGTTGCCCTTATCACATGTAGTGTTTTTCCTAAAGATGTCCTGCATGCCATTGTAATCAACGTTCATGCTCAAAATATATATTCATTCATTGTGGAAAGGAAATGGAATGGAAGCGCTACTACATCAGTGCTGAGATGAGGAAACTGGAAGGGGTTAATTGCTTACAAATGTCCCAGTTATAGGACTCATTCCTGCACCACTCTATTTAGCTTGGAATCACGACAAGGGATATTCAAATTGTCAATTTATTCCAGTAGAAATTGAATAGCATCCAGATTTGATTCTGTTCTCTATGTGTGGTGCGATTTAAATTGGGCTCTGTCTCAGGAAAATAGATTTGGAGGAACCTTGAGTTATTGTTCTCTCTGATGAGACTGGGCTGTTTAATGCTTATATAAGCCTTCAATAAGTTTTTGTAACTTTTGAGTGTTTATGTACCCCTCCTTCTCTCTCCCCCCCTCGCTTTTCTCTCCTTTGTCCGCTGCCTCCAGTATGAAGGGCTGCTTCACATGGAGATTGAGAGAGCGCTGGTCAAACAGAATGCTCTCGCTGTGACCGGAAGCCTGCAGGAGCGCAGAGACTCGAAAGGCTCCTCCAAGTGGCACAAACTTAGTCAGTAAGTTCACACACACACACACACACACACACACACACACACACACACACACACACACACACACACACACACACACACACACACACACACACACACACACACACACACACACACACACACACACACACACACACACACACACACACACACACACACACACAGAGAGATCGAACAGATGGTCGACTCACTGGATTGAACCAAGAACTGTGTTGTAGAATTTGAAAGACTTTGGGTTAATGAGCAATATCTCCCTGGGCATGTTTTGTTTTTTATCTGGTGCTTGTGCAACTTGATGAATGTCACAGAGTGCATGGACAGTTATTATTCAAAATATTACTCAGATCCTTTACCTAAGTAAAAGTAGTGATACCAGTGTAGAATTACTCTGTAACAAGTACAATTCCTGCATTTATTACTTAAGTAAAGTAAAAATAAAGATTGTATCGTGTTTTTTATGTCTTCACTTCTTCCTTTTTCCATCCCCCAGGTTTCCTCTTCCAGAGTATGTTTTGGATTTTGGTTATGTAATTCTCGGCCAAGTCCTCAGTCACACTGTGAATGTGACCAATACTGGAGCAGTGGCTGTGTCCTTCCATCTCAATGAAAAACCTCTAGCTGGCTCAGGTACTGTAACACAACTCTTTACTCACTATAACATGCTGTGGCACTTTGAGTGCTTCAGCCTTGTGTCTTTTTTATGACATAACTCAGGATTCAAAAGAAAAATGGAGCAAGAAAACTGTGAGAAGAAGTGTAAGTGTAAAGACAGTTGGAGAGTGTGCGAGTATTGAGATAAATAGGCTACAGTACCAGTACAAAAACAACAGAAAAAAAGAAAGTGAAGGAGATGGGGGGAGGGGGGGGGAAGACAGAATAAAGTGAGTAAAACCATAAAATCACAGGAAGGGAAGGAAGGGAAGAAAGAGGACACATTTGAGGACAGTAGAACAAAAAAAGCCAACAAAATAAAATAATAAAAGGATTAAGAAGTCCTGTGTGTTTACATTTTATGCTGCTGTAACACAAAACAATCCCAAATTGGGATCAATAAAGTACCATCTTATCTTATCTTATTTTATGAGATGAGATGAGCGGATTATCTCTTGTCTTGAAGTGATAGTGGAATCAAATGTAATGAATAATTGATGGAACTAAATAAAATGTCTCAAAGGGCATTGGAGTGGTGAGTTAGCATTTTAACACTTCTGGTTCCTTTATCTTAAAGTCATCTGTTTTATGAAATTGTTTTTGGTACGATGCCTGAAACTAGGTCTGAGGTCAACTCAGTAAATGCCCCACTCCTGAATGTTCCTCAGAAAAACGGAGGTTGCTAAGAGACTAAATGAGACTTCTGAAATCTGAAATATTGTTTGTTGTTAGCATTACATTTGCTATTTACCCCCTGGCAAATTCATTTCACCTCAAAGCTTATTTTTGGCAATTTTCAAAAGTTCATTGGAAAATTCCCTTCGCTTTTTGTGGAAAGAACCCTTTGTTTATGCTTCCGGGGCGGCCTACGAAAAGAAGTCATCTCTACACAACTCTATATTGTGCCTGTCTTCTGTTTTAAATTGTTGTTTTAAATTGGCTTTTTTGTTTTTGAATTTCTCTAAAGTAATTCCTCAAATTTTGCTTCTTCAAAGGATTCAGCACAGAACTGAAAAGAGTGAAAAACCTGCCCTGCGGAGAGACACAGACTTTAGCAGTCAAATTTGACCCCCAAGGATCCAACCTGAAGACGGGGGACACACAAGTTGTCATGCCAATACAGGTACACCTGGGCATAAAAAGACGTGCACAAATCATGTCATTATTGCTGTGCCATTTCTGAAAAGTGGTTTATCAGCAACACCATAATCTTTCTTCTCAGATGACTTTGTTTGGTTTTACAGGTCACAAGAGGCCCAGTGGTGCAGGTGCGTCTGTCTGCACTGGTCACTGTGCCGGCTATCACTGTTTCCACGGATACACTGCAGTTTGACACTATGCAGTGTAACATGTGTCAGGTAATACAGACTACTGCCCATTTTATAGTACTTTGTGATATAAACATGGAGGATAGCAGCATACGCATCGATTAGCACTATTGTGTTGTTTGCTGTAACAGCCAATCCATAAACCAATGAACATAACAAACGTAACATCAGCAATACATTCCAAATGTGTTGAATGGCAGCGATCTGCTGACTGCTGAGAAGGATTTATAAACTAAAGTCACACTAACCACTACACAGGCAATACGATTTAAAACATGAAATATCGCAGTATACATAAATAGTAAAGGTAGATTAATTGTGCATGATAAGCCAACGCCTTATTAGCATTCAGTTAGCATAACATTAGCTATGTACCTTCTGTTTGGATAATTGTATAGTTGTCTTTGGGTCTGTAGATCTTAAGGTTCTGTACTCACCCATTTGTAAACTTGAGATGAGCCTCTAAATATTCAACATTTTTAAATTGCAGACAGGTGTAGGCACTAACTCCGAACACCAGATAGGCGCCAACATCGGTAATAGTGATTGGTCTATTCTTCTATGAATTCATAAGGACAGATGTCATCAATTAACTTCAATTTTGTAAAAGAATGCTCCTCTGCCTCAGTGAAGAGCTTTTGGTTGTAAGGGGATTTATCTTTGGTGCTTACTTCATTCATTGTTTATACAAATCAGCTGACAGATGCAGGTTAAAGCTGATAACTATTTATGACTTCTGCAGTTGCAATAGAGGCCAACCTCCAAAGAGGGAATGTGTCCCGGTTCCAATTCCCCTATATAGGATGCACAGGTGCTGAACACTGCTGAGTGTTTGCATGGTACACAAATAACTGGCATAATGAGAGACGTTTCTCTACTGCCTCACAGTGGGGCCATCTTGTGGTCTGATCAGGTCAAGGTTATCATATTTGAGCAGTTCTGTTATAAAGCTCAAGCATTGAAGTGCTTCAAATGGGTGGCGATTACACATCGTTTAAAAACTACACTAGACCCTACTGTATATTACAAAGATATCCTAATTGAAAAACCTTTATCCCATGAACATAACATAATAAAATCATGCATTATGTTGCATCAGGCTTTTAATCTATTTATCTAATAATAATAATAATAATAACTTAATTTATACAGTATTCTTAAACAAGTGGATTTGCAGCCCTGATCTCCTTAGGCAGGTCGTTCCAAAGTCCAGGAGCCCTGACAGAAAAGTATCTGTGTCCTGCCCGGGACTTAAGGCAATAAAGGTTTAAGAAATAGCTCGGAGCAAGGCCTCTCTGGGCGTTGTAAGTAAGCAATACCATTTTAAATTGATACTAAAAGAAACAGGTAGCCATTGCAAGGAGGCGAGGCTCGGTGTAATACGGTCGTATCTCCTGGTTTGAGTTACAATCCTAGCAACAATCCTTTAGAAGGGCTGGAGGCGAGAGAGACATGTTTTACTGATGCCAGGGAGGAGGGAATAACACCTGTCTAATCTACTGGTAATGCATGCTGGGATACATGTTTTTTCCTGCACAAAAACGAAACATGCATCAAAATCAATGCTTATCGCTGACATATCCCAGACTGTGAAAAAAAAGCATTTTGTTTACAGAAAGTAATTCATTGTTGTGTTTTTCCCCCCCCTCATTTTAATGATATAAACAAACTGGAATGTATATGGTTTTAAATTCTGACATTGTATTAAAAATGAATACATTTTTTGAAACCTTATATTTTATGGTGTTTTTTTTACACAGATATTTGCGTTCTCTAATGACTTCAGAGCAATTTTCTTTCAAAAGACATTAAAAAAAGACTAAAAACTAAGATGCGTTTGTTTTTGCTCAAGCAACATGAAGGCCATGTATTACCTGCATATCAGTTCTGTCTGAAAACATACGCTGTGCTGAGTTTCTTGTTATTGTCCTCCTCATCAGATGAAGACAATACAGCTGTGTAATCATGAGTCCGTGCCCTGCTGCTGGACCATAGCTGAGGAGGGGACGCCTCTCAAAAAGGTACGACATTTGTCAATTTATGGAAAATTCAATCAACTTTTACAACTTGTTTTGTATTTTCATTTTCAGGTAACTACTACTACTGTACATGGCATCTAGGGCTGCACAATTCATCAACATTTCAATTTGAAATGTGCAATATCCAAGCTGCAGGGTGCCAAATATGTGTTAAAATACATATTTACAAATTGTAGTATTGTGAAGCTACATCTTGTTTTGATATCCTACAAATCTAATTCTACAGGCTTAACTAAATATATTTGTTTGAGTAGGGATCCTCTTAAATAAAATCACACCATGATCATTTAAACATTTTTCTTAAAGATGATTCCACTAATGACGCCAAAAATAATAAATTCTTCCAATGTTGTAAATCATATCACAATCGCAACATCATTCCAATTCCTTATGGCATCTAAGATCTTTATATTTAGGAAAACTAAACTACCATCTTACTGAGATAGTACTGAGAAATAGTTGCATCGTGTGGCACGTGCCTCACCCTATCAGTTTCTTTATTACATTCCATTACATTAATGCACACAATGCAAACAGTATCTTGTTCACTTGAGTTAAGTGAAGTCCTAGCCAACCCTCCAAGTTCTGTACGATACGATACGATACGATATACTTTATTGTCCCCGTAAGGAAATTTGTTCTGGACTCCGTCCTGCAGTGCATCCATGTACATATACAAACATAGTGGACATTAAGAGACATACACATATCATCAGTCATACACCGTTTGAACAAACACAATACACACACGTACATACTGACAATGGCGACCTATTGCACAACCCTCATGGCCAACAACAACCCTCATGGCCAACAGTACAATGTACAATGTACACAAAGCTACCTCTTATTTCTTCAAGGCTTACCACTAATAGTTTTATTTCTTACAATCTATCTTCTTTGACTGTGTTTATGTATGCACCCTATACACCAAGGACAATTCCTTCTATGAGTTAACCTGCTTAGCAATAAACCTGTTTCTGATTCTTGCTCAGCGTAAAAAGGTCTCTCAGGAGCATCAACCTCCTCAAGAGGTGTTTAAGGCGATCCCCAGTTCTGGCCTGCTGTCCCCTGGTGAACGAGTCAACGTCCAGATAAAGTTCAGCCCTGCTGATGGGGTAAGGAGCTTAACGGATTCGGCCACGATACATATCAGAGTATCATGGCATTACATGGTTGATGAGCTACTGTCCGTGTCTTTGCAGCTTGCCTACAACAGGCAGCTAGCGGTCCATGTGGCTGAGAGCTCCAAGCAGGTGTTCATCAGAGTTCAGGGGCAAGGTGAGGAGCCACGGCTGGAGTTCTCCCAGTCGGAGCTGGAGCTGGGGCCTTGTCTGTCTCTCAACACTGAGGTTGAAGCAGAGGTCACAGTGAGAAACCCCTGCTCCTTCCCCATCGAGTTCTACTCCCTGGAGTTCGACACGCAGTACCTCGAGGAAGAAAAGGTAGCTCTCCTCTGTAAGAATGGAATGGATAGGAAAAAGAGAAAAGTGACCATAACCAATTCTTACTTTTAAACCATTTCGTGAAGAACATTTTGATCAGAAATCAGAAAACAAACAATACAAGCAAAGAGAAGTGTGTAGCCACATTGTATACCACCATCCATTCGGCCCAACTCTCCTCAGGTCTGCATATTTAACTGATTCTGCCTTTTGTCAAAACATGTCTGAACTCCAAAAACAGCGCCACCTTAAGTTAAAGATAGACGTGAAAGCTGTTGCTTTCTGCCTGGTGTGACCTACTGTAAGACCTTCATAATGGATCACTAATATGACACTTAAATCTATTATATTGGTTATATGTTAATAGAGTGGCTCAGGAATGGGTAATACAACTTGGAAAATAGTTAGCATTTTACCACTTCCGTTTCCTTTATCATGAAGTCAATGTTTTTTTGAAAGTGTATTTGTTTAGATACCTGAAATAAGGTTTATTAAATACCGTAATGACACTACTAAACATCATCAATCTGAACATTAGCGTCTTTAGCTTAGCGGTCTTGACTTGAAGTCATGCGACCTTGATTTTGTTACTTTATAGCCAACGTTAACTTATTACCAATGCCAATTGCATTTACAAAAGACAATACACGGAGATTATCCTGCTGAACATGCACGTATCATGACCAGTTTTTTTGCCAGATACTGTATCTTTTTTTCAGCAATATACTCAAATCCAGTGGAAAAATCCCATGGCTTTTTGTTGAGGGAGCCCTTGCGATGCTAACTTCCGGGTTGGCCTACAAAAATACATCATCACTGCACCACTCTGTAGATAGGATTTAGCTCCAAAAATACTTAACACATGTCACTGAAAGTTCATCTTAGCTTGTATCAGACAAACTTAGCACGTCCCTCCTTGAGATGCCCTCTCTTTTCCTTGTGTCCTCACCTGGCCCCTCATAACATTACATTTGTCTGTTCCTTTGTGTCTTTTCCTGTCCAAATTCCCCTCCCTCTCCCCTCCCCCTAATTCCATGTAGATCCTGCATCTGATGCAGGGTTATGATGAGAACAACATGTTACTGCTGCCTCCCCGAGCCCCTGGAGAAAGTCTGACCTCAGAACTGCTCGACTACTACAAGGAGTACTGCTCCCAGCTGAAAGATGACGGTAGCTTCAGGCACCCACGTTCATTAAGCACTGACATTGTTGTCTATCTGTCTAAACACAACACAGAAACAAATGATTGGGGTAACACTGGACACTTCACCCTTATGTAGGATACCTAGTTACATAGGATTTAGCACTTTTCAGCAGGAAACATACTGATTCAAAGACTGTTTACATACCTGTTTTAATCTAAACTACCTGTGTGTTGCAGAGCCTAATGAAGATGAAAAAGAAGCTGAGATGGATGACACACACGAGAATGAAAAGACATTGAGACAAAACGATGCCCATACAGCAGAGAGCAAATTTGAAGAAACCCAAACAGTAACTGTGAAATCAGCTGAGTTACGTGAGTACAACCTGTTTATAAGCAGAACTTGAAAGTATATGACCTTCTCTTCGTAATTCACCATTATTTCTGTGTGATTTCAGTTGTTTCAGAGATGACCAAAGAGGGATGCAGTGGGAGACTGGGGCAGTTGGAGATGACCCCCGTCTCCAGAGCAATCGCCCGCCACATGTGTGTCGATCTGTCACCTGAGGGTCTGGCTGCACGCAACCGCAGAGGCATTGCTATTGTTGTATATGGAGCCCCACTGATAGGTAAAGCGATTCAGTCATTATTTAACAGTAGATACCAGTGGCGGAGTGTCCGTGCCAATTTTAGGGTTTTTAACACATTTTAGTTCAGTTTAAAGTCACTGTGCTAACAACATAAAATACTATAATTTGTATTTGTTTGTTTGGTCAGTTACTTAGTTAAAATATTATTAAATTACATTATAAAAAACTGAAAATGATGTTAACTTTGGCTCAAGTTAAAGCACAGTCTTTGCTGAAACACTATTGCAAATGGTGAAATGTTCATAGACATTCAGAGGGGGGCCACAGACGATCCAAGCTTCAAGTGTTACACTGGCCCCTGTTTGCCCCACTCTAGAACCACCAATGGTAGGCACTGTAATGCAAATCAGGTAAAATGACACCTAATAAGCAGAATCTCCATACTTTAGTTAAATATTTTAAGGGGCGTGCTCATTATTCCTATTGTTCAATGTCAATGCTCAGAAGGTGCGTTTAAATGCGAGAGAGACGCCTTCTCTCACAAGCGGCTATTTTCCTGGCAGCGACAGCGGAACCCAAAGTTAAAACTATTCCAGCTTTTGGAACACAGCAGCTAGTACCGCTTGTCATGTGACAAGGAACTACCTTAGCTCCCGTTAATATGGAGAAGTTGTTTAATTTAGAGGGGGTCTATCGTTACCCTCACTTTAAAAAATGGCACAATACACGACAGAGGGATAGTTAAGTGTTACAGCTTTGCAGGTAGGTTGTGTCATCTTAGAAAAGCAAATCATTATTCACCATACTCAATAAACACAAATATTTGCCATATACACCGTGCTGTCTATGCTCTGTACATTTTATATTTAAAGTGATGTGTGTGTGTCCCGTTTCCATTCTTCAGGTCGGGGCAGCACAGTGGCTGCTCTGGCCCGTCACTACGGAGGGGCGAGCCTGAGTGTTGATGCCGTGGTGACAGCGATGCTCCTGAACGGCACCTCTCCTGTTAGCCTGACCGCAAGACGACTCTACGATCAAGCTGCTGAAGAGTATGCTGAGAAGAAGGTCGAGGAGGCTGGTAAGAAGAGTAGATTGTGCAGGCAGTGAAAAACTATCATTATGTATTTGTTTTATGAAATTGCAGTAGTCTAGTCTAGTAGTTCAGGCAGGTATTTCAAGATTACAATGTAAAACACTTGTAGCTGCTGTTTGTTTTTATTTATTTATGTATCTATTTCTTTGTTTGTTTTTTTGTTTATATGAACTCTGTTCATTGACAGCAATGATAAGCGGTTTGGAGAAAATAACAGAAACAGTCAGCTTTGTCATACTTCACATCAAAAACATAAAAACATCACCCTTTACGTCTGAATACAAATAAATTAATAACAAATGTAAATAAGAAAATGGGATCTAAGTACACGATTTCCGGGAATGCATTTTTGTTTGCATAGTCAAAAAAAGGCAATATGTACAAGATCTACAAATGTATTTATAAATGATTCCTATTATAGATAAGTGGCTTGTGATGGCAGCCAATGTTTCCATACTGCCAATGTCCTTAAACAAAGCATTGAATCACAAAGCGCTTCACATGATGGCTCAGGATCAACAGTAAAAGACGTGCATGCACTTATCAGCATTGTGCTTGTAATCAGGCATTACAAATCCTTTATAGCCACACAGGACACTTCTGCAGAAGAGCATAGCCTTCTGTCTAGATTGCCAAATAACAGTGAAACTAAATATTTACATCTGCCTTTGCTTCTGTCTGCAGCACATCTTCTAGCCTCTGTCCCAGATACACAGTCAGCTCCAGCTTCACTTGATACTGCGGAAAACAGCGAGGAAAGCTGCAGTCAAAATGACTCCAACACTCCTCAGGAGACTGAAAACACCCACTTTGCCCTTTGTCTGGTACATTTTCTTAAATGCTCTGCTTTGTTCTAGTGTTATGTTACCTTTAACTGATGTAGTCCTGGTTTGGTCATTTTAAAATAAGTGTGAAAATGTTTTCCTCTGTAAATTGAGGGAATTAAACTAAGCTATTTTAACTTCAGGTACAAAAGTATTATACTGTATACCATTGTAAATACTTTGTTTACATTTAATTCAATGAAATATTTGGTGTGGTTTTGCTTCAGGGGGGAGATGTGACCACACTCTGCAATCTCCTGCCTGAACAGCTACTGGTTGATGTCCTTGCAGAAAGATTTCAGGTAAGTTGACTGTTTTTAAAACATGATACACAAACACATACAAAATAGCTCACAGCTATTTCTGAACATATCAGGTATGTATTGTGTGTTATACATAAAACAGGCAGGGTTTTATTTGTATTTGCCTTGTGTAATCTCATGTTTGTTCTCTTTGTCTTCTCATTGTCGTTGCTGCTGGGCCTGCTGTGGTGATAACAGCTGAGCGACTGTCACCGTGGCATCGTAATGGACGGCCTGGAGTCTGTATACACTCAGTCAGCAGCCAACACGCTGCAGGCTGTTCTGAAGGCTCTCAATAACCGCAAACACATCTACGCAGTCAACCTGTCGGACTCCTACACTGCCCTGCAGGCACGGGAGAGAGCACAGAGAGAAACTGAGGGTAAGAAAAGTCCCAAATTATTTTGCAGAGAACAGAGAGTTATTGTGTAAATATTTTCTATTTAGAACGGTTTGTGGCAATATAGAATATATGTGGAAGTGTCTATGTGTGTCCTTCAGAGGCTCTGCGGAAAGAGAAATCTGACAGGAAGGAGCAGTGGCTGCAGGAGCTGGACGAGGAGGAGTATGATGCTCTGCCAGAGGAAGACAAGGAGCAAATTGTCCGGCACCAAGCAGAGAACCGCAGACAGCAGAAAGTCAGGTACTGGAAGACAGCCCAACACATAGACTGGTGCAGTCATGACGTATTTAAGTAGTCAGAGCTGGAAAATGTCATGGCACGGGCCCCCTCGACAAAAAGCAATATGATATTTTCATGAAATTTTGAAATATTGCAGGAAATAAGTTCTCAAGACTCATTCCTTCATCTTAAGAATCTCCTCCAGTTTCCATGCCTCCTCTAGAGTCTAGCTCACACTTATTTAACTGTTAAGGGCCCGTTTTAGACGCAGCTTTTACTAAATAGTCATAATCATACCATAAACGTGTCTTTTTGTGCCTGTGTGTAAGGGAGCTGGAGCATATACTGAAGGAGGAGGAAGAACAGAGGCAACAGGAGGAGATGAAAAGGTTGAGAGAAGAAGAGTTGAAGAAGAAGAGCAAAAAGGGTGGAAAGAAGGATGTTAAAGAAACGTCGAGGAAGAAGAGCGTGCTGGAGGGAAAGCAGGTCTGTATACATATTCAATATAATCACTCCTCACAGAATATAAAATACCAATCGCTGATCGCTTGAATTATTTGGTTTATTTCCTCTCCAGTCAACAGATGGGTTGAATGGGAACATAATGTCTCCCAGTAACACCTCAAAAGAATCCCTGGTTGATGCAAGAGAGCAACATCATCTAAATGAAGGTGAAAGCCACTGCACAGAATCCCTTTTTTGTTTAATGCTAGATACTTTTATTGTTCAATATCTGCAATCTGGTATCGCTGAAATATGGTCCTTTTCTCTACTACAGTGCATCAAAGCAAAGAGGCGGATGATTTACAAAAGCAGACAGAAGAAACCAAAGCATTAAACACAGAGTCTCCCCAACCCGCAGACAAGATGGACAGAGAAAAGGTAGGTTTCCTTCTCAGTCAATTCAACCCACACAGTATCCTATTTTAGCTAGGGATGGGTACCGAGCCCCGGTATTAAAGGGGCCCGTGGCGGATTTATTAAAGACCGTGGTACCTTTAAGCTCCGACGTTATCGTTTTTTTTATCGGCACTGGAGACATTTAAAAAATATATGTCATATGTATTATTGCTACATAAACATTATATTGCAGTCTTAGTGTCGCCAACTCCGTTTCTAATATGCAATAAGACTACAAAATGCGTCTATGATACATTTTCGATCTTTCCAATCCAGACGAGAGATCTCTCGTCTGTGTGCGAGGGGGCGGGGCAGTTTACACACACGCGGCTGCTACATGCAGCAACACATGGCGGAGATGGCGGAGAGAAAGCTCTCCGAGGTGTGGTTAAATGTTACCCGTCTCGATGTGGACAATGCTCGTTGCCAAAGGTGCAATAAGAGTTTAGCATGTAAGGGCGGTAACACGAGCAATTTGTTTAAACATCTTGCAAAAGTGCACCACATCCAGACGGAGAAATGCACCGGGTTCGACTGTCTTTCTAGTAGCTCTGTAGCCCCATACCTGCCGTTTCCACGTCAGGTATGTTATGTATGCCTTAATCTTCCTCCAGAAGAACCGTTAGGCCTTGCAGCGTACCTGTACCTGTATGCCCCACCTGTGTTGCTCTGTACCACTGCATTTTTGCAGTAAATACTTGTTTGTTGTTTGTTTTTTACAGTTCTGTAAGTTCACATTATTTACAATTTGTTTAGTTAATTTACCTTTTTTTTTTCTCCAAAAGAACCGAGTACCGTTAAAGGACCGGATCGATAAGCGGTATCGATAAAAGTAGTAGTAGCGTTAAAACCTTAACGACACCCATCCCTAATTTTAGGTTATCTGTTCAGTACGGGATAATAAGAGCTGGGAGGCTTACCTTGAAAATGTAATTTGTTCTCTCTCTGATATCTGTATTTATAGTCTAATGACATCTAATATGAAGTACTGTATGTTTGTGATTGGATCTCAGAGTGCAGACACTGCAGAGATGAAGAGGCTGAAAGAAGAAAAAGAGTTGAAGAAAAATAAAAAGGTGGGAGAGCGAGATAATAAAGTGCCTGGTGGAAAGGAGGTCAGTGTACACCACCTTCAGTGATTAACTGTATACTGTACGTCTCAACCACATTCCACACAATCACATACACTGTTTGCCAATCGGTTAGTATTTCAATATTTGACTCCATTTTTTTCTCCAGTCGACCCTGATGGAAGAGACGCTGGTGGATGCAAAAGAGCAACCTCAACTAAATGAAGGTGCCAGCAAATGTAAGGAATCCAGAATAGTTTAAGCTCACAGCTTACTTACAAGGCTTACACTTTTATAAACAAACACGAAAGCTCTCTAAACACAAGATTGACTCCTGATATCCTGTTGTCTAACTAATTAATAACCATCAGTTGGGGATATCTTTTATCATCAATGTCCAGCCTCGCTGAAACAGTATCCTGCTTATTACACAGCTATTTACAAAATACAAAAACTGCCAAATTGACTCACAATATTGATGTCAAAAAATGACCTGAAAACAATTATTGGAGAAATTATCGTATTGCTTCCGCTAAGGAAAAAAAGTCCTTTCAACTGCAACGACTAGATCTGCGGCGGCAGAAACATAACTTAAAATGACGGCAGCAGTGATCTAGGATATTTATTCACATTATTTTTTTCCTTTAAGTCTTTAATCACTCAGTTTGCCCAAACCTTGTTCCCTTTAGTATTTACTTCCTGTATATCCTCTTCTTCTGATTTCTCTGTTATCCAGCTTTCTATCTCTTTTAACCTCTTTCCTACTCTGTGTTTTTTACTGGGGACAGTTTAGTCATCAAGGAATCAAAGGTTTTGTGCTCTCCATAAATATAATAAGGAATTTAGAAAAGTGTTTCATGGTGTTATCTGATGTTAAACTGATCGCACTTCTTTCTGTGGATTGATATGGCTGCACATCGTCCTAAATTCAAAGCAGCTTTATAACAGTGTGCTATAAAGAAATAACAAACCTCTGAATGTCAAGTCAAGTATTCAACCAAGCTGCGTAATAATGAGTGATAACTGCTTCCGTACAGCAATAAGGGCATCCAGATAGATACACAAAATAACACACGTAGTTTAGGAATGTAATCTAATTAAGATTGTTCACAACATATAGCCCATTCCACTTATAGCCAAGATCATAATAACTAAGTATTGCGTGTTATCATATCTATGTATTATAATTGATCCTCTTTCCTAATACTAGTGCATCAAAGCAAAGAGGCTGATCCTTCACCTAAGAAGACAGAAGAAGCCAAGCGATTACAAGCAGAGAGTCCTAAACCTGTGGACAAGCCAAAGGGATATACAGTGAGTTTATGACTTTCTTTTAAGATAATCACAGAAATAATGGGCAGAAGTATTTAGATCTTATACTTAAAGAAAATGCCCTAAATATTTGTAAATGCTGTTTAATTTTTAGCAATACCCTTGCTATTTCTACTATCCTCCCTATCCAGTCTGTAGAGGATGAGCTGCAGTCTCAGTTCAGTGCGTATGAGAAGATCCAGGAGCAGGTGGAGCACATCCTGCAGCACTGGGACCGAGCCCAGAGCTTGTTGCTGCTCCCGATCCCCACTGAAGAAGCCCCCCCGTCGTCAGAGGACACCGCAGCAGAGAAACATGTGAGTTTGCTGACTGTCGGTTTAGTTTTGTCTATTACAGTATGCTTCAATACAGACATATTTGTATATGCTGACCCAGAAGTTAGCATCAGAAGGGCTCGACTAAAAGCATAAGGATTTTCTTTGTATTTCGAAATACTGCAGAATTTTTTTTTGCTCTTTGGCAAACTCACAATGATTCCAGATCATCGGCTTACCACTCTGAAATAGAGAGATTTGTGCAATCGTGTGATTTGAACCATCTTGTGCTGAATGTGAAGGAGATGTGGGACCCAAAGGCAGTGGGCGACCTTAGGCCGGTGGTTATCCACCATGAACCCATAGCTCAGGTCAGGTCCTATAAGTACCTTGGTGTCCATATAGATAGTACACTCAGCTGGAGGGTGCATGTTGAAGGTCTGTGCTCTAGACTTCAACAGCGGTTGTATTTCTTGCGTAGACTCTGGGCTTTCGGAGTCGAGCAGAGGTTCATGTTACTGTTTTATCATGCAGTGTTGGAGAGCATCATAAGGTATGGTATCACTGCCTGGTATGGTAACATGACAGTGCAGTCAAAGTCAAAAGACTGCTATGAAAATGATGGAGGTCAAAAAACATCCATCTCTCCAAAACATATATGAGCAGTCCATTATTAGACAGGCACAAAACGTACAACCCAGAATTCCAGCTCCTACCTTCTGGTAGAAGATTCAGGGTTCCCAAGAGCAGGCTGAACCGCTATAAGCACTCATTCCTGCCTATGTCCATTAAGCTTCTTAACACTCACATGTGATGTAATATACTTTTAAATGTTGGCCATGAGGGTTGTGCAATAGGTCGCCATTGTCAGTAGGTGCGTCTGTGTAATTTGTTTGTGCAAACGGTGCATGAGTGATGATATGTGTATGTATTTTAATGTTTATTATGTTTGTATATGTACATGTATGCGGAACTGCAGGACAGAGTCTGTTACGTCCCCACTAAGGTCTAGCTGACCTGGAGACAATAACACACAACAACCAATAAATGAGGGAGTCAGCGTAAACGTTAACAAAATGTTTATTCCTTTTACAACCAAGAATACTGACCACAAATGCTCTTTAAGTGAGGAGGAGGAGGAGACAAAGGAGATTGTGCCAAACTAAATAAATATAACAAAACCAGGCCTATCTCTAAATCTATCCTCTGAAACCAAAACTCACACAAAAACCCTCACTATCTGAACTACTAATAATTGGACAAAGCAAAATACAGGGGTGGCAACAATCCACTAACCTAGTGTGTTTAACATATGTTACCTACGTGATGAGATGTAAAGGGTACCTACTCCTCCACCTCCCACCACACACACATTCACAAAGGTCAGAAAACAGGGTCCACAGTAGAAATCAGCAACTTAACAAACACTCATACAGAGGCTCTTCAGTCAGCAGCAGACCCAGGGTGAGAGAGAGGCTGCGTTTCACTTCGGTTAAATGGATTCCTTGCGCCCCTCACTTGCGTCGTTTCCCTGCGACTAGCCCCTCCCACCAAGGAAGCATGGAGAGACGCAAGGAAACCACGAGAAGCAGGGAAATGAGTTTTAAGAGCAATGGGACGTCCTTTCCTCCGGAGCGTCACGTGAAGCGACGTCCGTTTGTGATGACGCCGCACAGCTGATCGTCTGACAGCAGCTCTGTCCCCGTTATTTTCACAAACACCCCCGCCTCTGTTAGTACACATTTACTGACACAAACATTTGTATCATCTGTTGTAGACCCAAATAAATAAAATAAAATAAGAACTCATTCTCAAAAAAGATAAATGCCATTCTTAAAATGTATAAACGAACAATAGTTGGATTAATATTGATTAGAGTGCACAATAGAAATAAAATAATTCAGAGAAGAAAAAGAGATATGTTATCTATCAAAACCCAGTTAGATTAACATTCATTGGATTGCACACTTTGTCTGTTTGTGTGGATATGTAGCACATTAACATGTTAAATAGCACTTAATGACTGACTGAATGGAAATGACAATAAATGAAAATGTAAAACGAAAAAAGCGATCATGAAAATGTTTCCAATAAATGAATAAAATGATTTTTGACCACTTTGTTGTTCAGATATATCACATATTTGTAACTGAATGATGCATTCATTGAAACAAAACACAGTATAAACTGAGGAGTGAGTCCCGTGAGTTTCATGTGTTTTCTTCACTCCGCTGGGAAACTGCTCTCATGTCAAGAAGCATCAGATCAGTGCATGCGCTGCATCGTCCAATCAGTGAGCGATACACAGTAAGGGGGCGGGGCGAGTGTCTGAGGATTTCATCGAAGGATGGTCTGGTGGTTCCTCGATTATAGCTCCTCCATTATCGCTCCTCGCTCCTCTGGCAAAAATAAGGCCATTGGGACGCTACTCAAGATGGCGCAGACAAATCAACTTCCGGTGAGACCGAGACCGAGGAGCGAGGAAATGAAAAATAAGAGAAGTGAAACGCAGCCTAAGAGAAGGCTTCCTAGGTGCCTCCTTTATGACCGGCCCTGGCTGCTGATAGGGGCGAGCTGAGGGTGAGAGGAGCCAATCAGCCGTCAGTCTCAGGTGCCCAGGCAGGTACTGATCAGCTGCTGATTAGCTGTAGAGAAAAACAGGGAGAAGAGAAAAGAGCAGGAGGGAAGGAAAACAAAACAAGTACAGCCTGCCTGGCACGTAACAGAGTCCAAAACTAATTTGCTTACGGTGACAATAAAGTATATCGTATCGTATAAACCTCTCTCTTCCTTTCTACAGACCCATTGGTTAAAAGCCAAGTTGTAGAGGGGCATCTATCAATCAAATGTGGGACATTATGTCAAATTGCGGGACACGTGATCACTCTTTCCCCCATGTGTGCACAGACCCCTGTTGGCAAGAGGAACAAGAAGGCCAACAGCAAGATTATGTCTCCGATGCTGAGTCAAATAGCTGCCGCAGCTGAAGCAGACAAGGTGTCCCCACAGGAAGTCATCCCTCACATCGTGCTGAATGTAACGGGGAAAGACTCTCCGAGTGCCACTGAGCTGCTCAAAGGCAGCACCCTGCCTCAGCTGGTCCAGGTAGTTTTCTCTTTCTGTTATAGTATAAGTTACAGTTTCTTTTTAATAGTTTATTACTTTGCCTAATGGTTTTATTTCCTTTCTCCTTTTGAATGGTTAGGTTTTGGATGATCTGGGGTTGGGACCCAGCGGCCCACCCATCCCTCCCCCCGCCACTTTCTCTGTGGTTCCTTTTCCCAAAAACAGAGAGCAATCTATGAGTAAAGTCACCTGCAGCTGTTTCACCTTCCTGGTTCCCTCAGGGCACGAGGAACAGGATGAGGAGAAGAAAGACTCAGAGGAAGATTTACAAGCATCAGTTGTAAAGGTAACCGTACATATACACCACATGAATAAACAAGTGCACAATTTAACAACTTGGAAGTGTCCATCTTGTCCGAAACACACATCCTTTTATGTCAAGAAGCAGCACGATTTACAGGAATTGTAAAAAAAAATAAAAATAGTGCTGTGAATTTCCCTGCTACGAAATACAAGCTACCAATCATCTTTATAATGTCACACAGGTTTATGATGCAAAGTCATAACAGTCAATAAATCAAAAGTACAAACTATTGTTAAAACATATATAAATATTCAGATTTCTTTTTTTTGGTGTACTTTAAAGGAAGAGGCAACACATTCCAAAGGTCGCATCAAGGGCAGCACTAAGGAGAGTGCAGTAACAAAGGACAAAAAGAGTCAAAAGAGCAAGAGACAAATTTCAGCCAAGACAAAAACAAAGGTCCCGGTCATTTCTCGCACATCTGTACGCGACTCCTCCCCACTGGACAGCACCGAACAAGACCTACACCAAGGAAACTTAGAGCTGAAACGCAGCCAGAGGCAAGGGGAAACACACACAGACTCTCTGAATGAAAACACATTCTGTTTCTTTACTTTGTGTTTGTTCTTTAACTAACTGTTTGTGTTTTTTTTATGTGTAGCCTGACACATTTTCGCTGGGTTGTACCAGCCAACAGTGAGGTGGTTCTGAAGATTTGGTTTTACTCAGAATCCCCAGAGATGTTTGAACAGACCTTCAACTTTGAGCTGCTGGGGACCCAGAGACTCTACCAGCTCCTCTGCACAGGGATTTGCACCTATCCCTCCATCTGCAAAGACCACACGTCAGTCAGCAATGTTTAATAACTTAATGCAGTATTACATATGGTAAAGAAAGGGGAAGGGAGAGCAAAGAGGGGTTATTACAGATACAAATAGATACCACAAAAGAAACATTTAATTATAAATAATAACACGAGAACAGAATTCAGAGGTGAGTTGACATGCTCCTGTGCTGTTCACCAGTTGGGGTTATTTTGTACTTCAGTTTGTCTGTTGGCTTTTAGTCATAATTTGAAAAAAGAAATAGCCCCTACAAGAAAATATAATTTCTGGCTTGAGTTCACATACATTTTCTCAGGCAGGAACACATTTGTTGGTACGCCACATAAATGCAGCACAAATGCTCTGTCTCGCAATGTTAATAAAAGTAAAACATAATCTGGATCTGCATTTATTTTCTTGGGAAATACCGCCCCCATGTAACAAGGTGTTATGCTCACAGGGAGCTGCTAGACTGAACCCACAATGCAAACACTGAGACAGGAGACAGAAACTGCAGAAAACAGGGAACTTTATTGCACAGATGTTGGAGTTGGGGTGGTGAGGAAGGGAACAGGTGGACCGGGGAATCCAGGGGGAGTCCAGGGAGAATCCAGGGAGCAGGGAAAGCGAGCCAAGAGGTGTGGAGCTGAGGTGAAAACACGGTCGTGGCAGGCTGTTGAGTTGGTGGGTGATCTGAACAGGTAAAGAAACAATTAGTCAGGTGCAAATAACTCACAAGGGTCTCACTAAAAAGCTAAGTTTAGCCGGTGCCGTTTAGTGGATATCTGACGAAGACTGGAGGTGATGACCGGGCTTTTATACAGGTGCAGGTGAGTAGTGGCAATCAGTGAAATGAGCAGCAGCTGGAGAGGTGTAGAGGCGGGAATCCAAAAGTAGGTCAGCAACGCCCAGCCGGGGAGACACACACACACACCCACAGAGAGACAGACACGCAGGGAAAACAGGGAGGCAGTACTGTGGATCCTCACACAGGGTACATGAACATTGGACCAGTAGTTTTTCAGTAAAAAAGAAAAACAGAAAACCTACCCGAAAAACATTACTTCTGTGATATAAATAAATTACAATACAGTTAAAAAACTCAAGTTATTGTTGACTGCAAGAACTCACAGTTATCATCTATGCTTTCCCCAGGACTCTTTTTGCTTTCAGTAAGAAGGTATCAAAAATGGAAAAGGGGCTCGAAAAGACTTACGTAATCAAACCTGGGTGCTTTGAGTTTGGACCGTTACTCTGTGGAAAGACCAGAGACAGGTGAGTGGTAGTGAATGGCTTAGTGTTTGAATCCGTCTTTGAATTGATGCTAACATATTGAAATGTGTCTCTGTTTGTGTAGATACAAGGAAAGTAGGTACCCTGAGAACACAGAGAGACTAGTGATTCAAAACACTTCAGGCCTGGAGGTTGAGGTCCAGTTCAGTTTCCAGCACGACACCCAGGCTGCCACATATCTGCTGCACCCCCCGACAATGACTCTCAAACCTGACCAGAAACAGGTACCACACAGATCTTACCTGAGGGATAATGTGTTACCAAAAAAAGCATAAGGAGTCAGATTGAGAGTATTTTGTTGTTAATTAATTAAATGTTCCTATGGAATTTTTTCTTGCTAGGAATTGACAGTGTGGGCCTACCCAACAAACATTGGACAAATGAAGGACAGTATAATTTGCCAAATCAAAGACAATCCAGAGCCTGTCATCATCAACATCTCCTGCTGGGGCGTGCGGCCAGAGCTGGAGCTGGAAAGCAAGCATTTGCACTTTAACAGGACTATGCTGCACAGGTAATAACATATAGAATTCAGGGATGGATTCCACAGAGTGTTCTTCTAAAATAGCTTGACAAGTATTTTTCACAAAGGACATGTGAAACCAGTCCAAAGACAGAAGCAGAATGATAAAGTCAACACATTAACTACAACTAAAACAAACTCAAAACGCATACTTCTGTACATACATTGGCTATTCTGTGCATAATTGCCTCCCAGTATGCAATATGGCATAATGCACTTTGAGCATGAATGTAAAAGAGAAATGGAAACTACATAAGGATTGGCCCCCTTCAAGGCAAGGCAAGACAAGGCAAGTTTATTTATATAGCACCTTTCAACACAAGGCAATTCACAATTGCACAGTGCTTTACAAAAATGAAAGACATTCAGAAAATGGCATTTAAAAACAGTCATTAAAAAGCAAAGATCATAAAAATAAACAGTAAAAGAAAAAATACATGAATAAAAGTTACAGTGCAGTTTAAGATATGATCCTTTGCTCTTTACACTATTTTCTTGCCCTATTCTTCGTTATTCTCTTTTCTGATAGGGCCCCCGACTCCTATTTTCTAACACTTCGATAGGGCCCCCGACTCCTATTTTCTAACACTTCGATAGGGCCCCCGACTCCTATTTTCTAACACTTCGATAGGGCCCCCGACTCCTATTTTCTAACACTTTGATAGGGCCCCCGACTCCTATTTTCTAACACTTCGATAGGGCCCCCGACTCCTATTTTCTAACACTTCTATAGGGCCCCCGACTCCTATTTTCTAACACTTTGATAGGGCCCCCGACTCCTATTTTCTAACACTTCTATAGGGCCCCCGACTCCTATTTTCTAACACTTCGATAGGGCCCCCGACTCCTATTTTCTAACACTTTGATAGGGCCCCCGACTCCTATTTTCTAACACTTCGATAGGGCCCCCGACTCCTATTTTCTAACACTTCGATAGGGTCCCCGACTCCTATTTTTAACACTTCGATAGGGTCCCCGACTCCTATTTTCTAACACTTCGATAGGGCCCCTGACTCCTATTTTCTAACACTTCGATAGGGTCCCCGACTCCTATTGTCTAACACTTCGATAGGGTCCCCGACTCCTATTTTCTAACACTTCGATAGGGCCCCTGACTCCTATTTTCTAACACTTCGATAGGATCCCCGACTCCTATTTTCTAACACTTCGATAGGGTCCCCGACTCCTTTTTTTAACACTTCGATAGGGCCCCCGACTCCTATTTTCGAACACTTCGATAGGGTCCCCGACTCCTATTTTCTAACACTTCGATAGGGCCCCTGACTCCTATTTTCTAACACTTCGATAGGATCCCCGACTCCTATTGTCTAACACTTCGATAGGGTCCCCGACTCCTATTTTCTAACACTTCGATAGGGCCCCCGACTCCTTTTTTTAACACTTCGATAGGGCCCCTGACTCCTATTTTCGAACACTTCGATAGGGTCCCCGACTCCTATTTTTTAACACTTTGATAGGGTCCCCGACTCCTATTTTTAACACTTCGGTAGGGTCCCCGACTCCTATTTTTTAACACTTTGATAGGGTCCCCGACTCCTATTTTTAACACTTCGATAGGGTCCCCGACTCCTATTTTCTAACACTTCGATAGGGCCCCTGACTCCTATTTTCTAACACTTCGATAGGGTCCCCGACTCCTATTGTCTAACACTTCGATAGGGTCCCCGACTCCTATTTTCTAACACTTCGATAGGGCCCCTGACTCCTATTTTCTAACACTTCGATAGGATCCCCGACTCCTATTTTCTAACACTTCGATAGGGCCCCCGACTCCTTTTTTTTAACACTTCGATAGGGCCCCTGACTCCTATTTTCGAACACTTCGATAGGGTCCCCGACTCCTATTTTTTAACACTTTGATAGGGTCCCCGACTCCTATTTTTAACACTTCGGTAGGGTCCCCGACTCCTATTTTTTAACACTTTGATAGGGTCCCCGACTCCTATTTTTAACACTTCGGTAGGGTCCCCGACTCCTATTTTTTAACACTTTGATAGGGTCCCCGACTCCTATTTTTAACACTTCGATAGGGTCCCTGACTCCTATTTTCTAACACTTCGATAGGGTCCCCGACTCCTATTTTCTAACACTTCGATAGGGTCCCCGACTCCTATTTTCTAACACTTCGATAGGGTCCCCGACTCCTATTTTCTAACACTTCGATAGGGTCCCTGACTCCTATTTTGAACACTTCGATAGGGTCCCCGACTCCTATTTTCGAACACTTCGGTAGGGTCCCTGACTCCTATTTTCTAACACTTCGATAGGGTCCCCGACTCCTATTTTCTAACACTTCGATAGGGTCCCCGACTCCTATTTTCTAACACTTCGATAGGGTCCCCGACTCCTATTTTCTAACACTTCGATAGGGTCCCTGACTCCTATTTTCTAACACTTCGATAGGGTCCCCGACTCCTATTTTCTAACACTTCGATAGGGTCCCCGACTCCTATTTTCTAACACTTCGATAGGGTCCCCGACTCCTATTTTCTAACACTTCGATAGGGCCCCTGACTCCTATTTTCTAACACTTCGATAGGGTCCCCGACTCCTATTTTCTAACACTTCGATAGGGTCCCCGACTCCTATTTTTAACACTTCGGTAGGGTCCCCGACTCCTATTTTCTAACACTTCGATAGGGTCCCCGACTCCTACGTATTTTTAACACTTCTTAGGGTCCCGGACACCTAAACCATGTGCACAATTGTAATATATCATTTATATGATCCTATGCTCTTTACACTATTTTCTTGCCCTATTCTTCATTTTTCTTTTTTCCGATAGGGTCCCTGACTCCTATTTTTAACATCTTCATTCCTTTAAGAGATGCTCAGTGGCGCATGAAACCAAAATGGACCAATTGTTGATTAAAAAAAGTACCCGTATCTTGAGAGCATGTTGAGCAATTGAGCCCCGCCTCCAAGATCACGCTCTTCGCTCAGTCTAATGAATGGAGAGAGAAAGAACTCTGAATTTGGCTTTTAGTTAATTTGACAACTTTTAAACCAAATAAGGGCTATACAAGTGTTCATACTGGGTTGTTTATTTAACTACAAAATGATACACTGATTTAGAGGTGTCTCTTTTCCAATATAAGTAAACAGGAAAAAGTATTTTTGGGCCCAAATGACATCACGGACTAGAACGTAAGTGTAGTACCACCGTTTGGTCACTAAGAAAATGTGCTTCAATGGCCGGCGCTCTTCCTGGGGAAGTTCGTTGACAGCTAGCTAGCTATAGCTTTTTTTAGTCAATGATACTATACATTACAAATGTATGCACTTCATAAATGTTAACAGTGCACGACATGGCAGTGTACTAAAAAATCTGAATTGGGACACAGCATGATTCTTAAACTAACCTGTTTATCCCTCTGTCCCTTTTCTTTCTGTCAACCAACCTTCTTCCACCCTTCTCTCAAGGCGTAACAGCTGTAGTGTGAAGCTGCATAATAAGACGGCCCTGCCGGTGTCTTGGAAGCTGCAGGGTGTGGACGAGTTGGGTGATGAGTTCAGTGTGCCACAGGATCAAGGCGTCATCTCAGCCAACTCCTCTTTCCTCCTGAGCTTGCACTTCAGGGCCAAAAAGCCACTCCACATAAAGAAGATCCTACGTTTGGAGGTAGTCTTAATTTTGTAATACAGTATGGAATTAAACTACACTCAATTTGCAATTTAGGAAAGCACCTTCAAATGTCAAAGATGCTCTGTCTGTTTTGTTTCAGGTATCAGATGTGGAGAAGATTTTAGGCGTCGTACAAACAGAAAACATACAGCTCACAGCTGAAGCCTACGATGTCGCTCTGGAAATCATACCAGGTACAAACTGGAAGAACTTACAAACATTTCATGTACAGGTCAAACTTAATATGTGCTTTCTTGATATGATACATTAGGGTTTAGGGTATAAAGATAGCAGAACAAACAATATGTATACAATAATATGACACAAAATGGCAATGATGCTCAGCTCGGCAGTGTTTGTTTATGCTACCTCGGCAGATTTTGTTTATGATAGCTTGCTTACATGCGCATTCACATGCTAACACACACACACTTTACTAAAGCCGACAAAACTTACCTCACTCATAATGTCACAGAAACTCAATAAATGGGGAGGTATAATCAAAAGACTGAAAGTGATGTTTCCTCAACATTTTGAAAATACTGCAAATCCCCAGATATGAGGCTTGAAGACAAAAGCAGTCGATCTCAGGATCCTAGATTAAAACTATCTAGTACATCACAGTTCAATACATTGTTTTCATTTCAATGTAAACGAGCAAGAACAAGCGGACTCCTTACCATTTAAACCATTTTAAACATGTTACAGAATGTAATTACATTACCCACTTTTATGGTTTAGTGAAGTCAATCCTTTTAAAGTATAATGTAATATAAATAATTTTTAAAACTATACTACTTATTTTGTTTCTGTAGCAGATGGCTGTCTAGACTTTGGAACCATCAAAGTTTTTGAAGAGGGCAAACTGTCTCTCAGGTTGAAAAACCAAGGGAAATATGAAACAGCCTACAAGTCAGTATAATGTGCTTCTTAAATGTGTATGATCAGTCCCAGTTTCATATTACTGCATTTTATCTCACCATGAAACTAGTAAAGTTGTTTATTTGCATTCTTCTTTTTCCACAAGGTTAACACTTCAGCAGACTGACCCACCCCAGCCAAACCTGGAATCCATTTTCACATTGTCCCCTCGGAGTGGTACTCTAATGCCCCACGAGAAGCCCACCACAGTGCAGATCCTCTGCAAAGCCAATACAAAAATCTCAATGATAGAGCAGCCTATCCTGCTCTGCCAGGTGAGAGCTTTAATAAGAAGTCTTAACGATTACAGATGTGGAAGGTTAACTTTACACATTGAAGTATGATCTTGTAACATAGCTTTCTTTGGAACACAGCCTTACAATTTTAGTACAAGATAAAAGGGTTGTGCCAAATGTCCTGTCTCTCACTCATGCTCAGATTTGGGTTTCTTCTTCTACAGTTGATTGAACCCAATATTGGGAATGGAGAAGAAGTCGCCACACTAAACATCAAAATTTCAGTCAAGTCGGTCTTCTCCAGGTAAAGGCTTTATTCATTCTATTTTGTGTAATACATCTCCGGATTTATTTTTAGAGACCACTCCAATTTGTTCTTGAATCTGAATCTCTACCTGTATGGCAGCCATTCCATTCCAGTGTCTGTTGAATTCCAACACAGAGAAATATTGTCAGAAGTTTATATAATAAAATAATTTTACTCAAACACATACCTATAAATATTAAAACTAGAGAAACTGATAATGCTTCAGTGGTCTCTTTATTTGTTCCAGAGCTGTATTTATTAGTAATGAATTGTTCTTAGTATTGTTATAAGCAAGTCAGACAAAAGACTGCATTGACTAGAACAAATTATTCTAATATTATGTTTTATTAAAAAGGTGACTTTTATAAAACAAAAAACTAACAAATGTATAAGAACAAACGTAAGTATTAACTGAAATTATCAAGGCATACATTTGCGAGGAAAATACGTTAGAATTTCTATTGAAAAGAAGGAAAGATTAAAGTCACAAATGTATGGGAACACCTGTGACTGCATACAAACACAGGCTCAAACATGTTTACTGTAAATATTTAGAGATATGCAATGTCTTCTTATAGCACTTCGAACAATGTCAGTTAGGAAGAGAAATTCAGATGTTCTTCTTGTAAATGTACAACTTTTATTTTTGAAAGTTTATTGCTGTGTAATAATTTTTTCTAAATAAAAGGCCCTAATATGATATCAGTTTTGATGTCAGTTAGTACATTTTTTGCCCTACATTGTGTCTGCAAGGGTGATTATTTCGAAGCCGAAACACACATTATAAATGACTGTGTGTTTTTTTAGGTACAAGATCACACCTGCCTGTGACATCAACTTTGGTCCTCTGGTCTACGGCTACAAGAAAAGTGAGAGCTTCACCATTGAGAACAACGGAACCTTTGAGACCCGTTACAGTGTATGCCGCTTGATCACAGACGCCACCTCACCGGGAAAGCAAGGGTAGGACGAGACAACGAACACAGAAACATGTACACAGAGGCGCAAGGGTTAACACTATTTCAGAAAAACTCAATTGGAATGGAACTGTATATACTGTATATTCTGAAGATGTGCTCTAAAATGCCAAATTTCAAAGTAACCCAATTGTAAAAGTAGTAGCTCAGTGCAGGTGCTCAGTGTTTATTGATGAGGTACGAACAAATTGAACCATCTGTTTGTGACAAATCTGATATTGGAGTGTAATACACCTTACAAATGTACAAAAGTTTCATTGAAGCATTATTGTGTTGCCAATCCATGCACATGTTCTATTGCCTTGACTGGAGGGAATGTGCTATGAAGTCAAAAGTTGTGGAGGTGAAACTCATTCAAAGTTGCCTATTCACCCACTGAGAAGGAAGGATGACAGAATGTCTAAAAACTCTCAGTCCTTTTCCAATATCATTTTCCTAATGATGTTCAAAATAAATGATGGTTTGTGTCCCTGTGTACTTATCTCAGGGGTCCCTGTAAGAAGAGCCAATCAGAGAGAGCCACTGGTGCCACTAGCAAAGTGAGACGTGAGTCCATTCAGAGAGACTTGAGTATCACACAGGTGAGAAATCACAAGTAAATGATAACAATGAAAGTGCCTGTTTATTTATGCAGGTGTTGTTTTGTTGGACGGTCCTCTTTATTTATTTCTAAATGTGTAAGAGGCTCATGGAAAAGTCCTTACCATCTTTCCTACATATTTGGGATTTTCTTTTCTCAAGATATATTATATATATGTACAGCAAATTTCACAAAAAAGCTTATTTTATCACTTGACCCTAGTCCTATCTAGACTGGCCATGCATTTTGAAATGAATCAAACAAACAAAACAAAACCATGATCAAACAGTCATAATGATATTTTGTATTGATTGATCACACATAGTGTTAGCTTCTTTGCTGTTCTTTACACATTGACTAAAGTAAAACCAGATGTCAAACTCGGGTTCTGAAAAGTGAAGCTAATGTGTAATGGCTTCAAACCTGCCTTCTTTCTAGTGAGCAGCAAAATAAGTATGGTTTTATATAAAGTCTATACTACTTGTCACTTCATTTATTACTTTAAGAAACTTGTAAACATGGGCTTATTGTCTCAACTGCTAGTTTCAAGTCTTCTTCATTACAGCATGTCATTTGTTATACAGTACTTACCTTATTCAGTGTCTCATTGTGCTGCAGTCCCCATCAACAGATGACATGATATTGACTATGTCTACTTCTTATATAGGAGTAGGGAAACATTTTTTACAGTAGCATTCTAACTTGTCTAACACATTTGTTATTAGGCCGCTGTTAATCTAACCTGTCAAAATAATACACATTTTATGATGGATAAATACAACAAAAAAAAGAGTGCTCTGATGCTAACAACGCTTTGGAGGTTCAGGTTAGCAATGTTTATTCAGAATATAATACAACTGGTTATGTTCTTTTATGCAATTTTCATGTTAAAATAGCAGAAGAGCTCTGTGGCATATCCACAACAGAAACGTATGACAAAGCAGACACCTTCCATCCATGTTATAATGTCAGTGTTCTCCCAGTACTCTGATCTGTACCTCCCTGATTTTGTGTCCCTCTAGAATCGCCTCACCATGGGGGTGTTCTCTGTGTCCCCCTGTAATGGCAGCTTGCATCCAGGGTCTCAGCAGGTGGTGACAGTGGAATGTGTTTCTGATCAGCTTGGTAGCTGGAACCAGGGTTTGCTTATTGACATCAGTGACCGTGACCCCTTAGACCACCCTGATGGCATTCCTTACAAACTGCTGGCTGAGGTCTGCAAGCCAGGTGAGGGCTCTGTGAACATAGTATTAATGTACAAAAAGTGCTACATTATGGATACAAGAGCTTTATCATCTTCACCAAGTGCTTTTCCTTTGACTAATCTGACTCTCTTTTGTCCTTTTTTGTTTGTTTCCCAGGTATATCGTTGGACGTGGCTTCCATCTTTGAGGAGCACCATCTGTGTAACAACAGCAGTCAGCTGTCCTCGGAGCAGTTCTGCAATGCTGAAGGAATTTACGTCCAGGACGAGAACAAGTTTGTTTTCAACAAAGTCCTGGTCGGGCGCACTGCCAAGGCCCGCTTCAAACTCACCAACAACAGCAAGGTGCCCTGTGCGCTCAGCTTGGCCATCAAATATGTTGGCGCTAAGGTAAGGCATTGTGGATAAATGCAGCTTACATGATTGTGGACGATGGTTGTTAGCATGTCAAACATACGTTGTATTTCCTCACAGCTGTCTCGTGGAGCGGATGTTTTTGATTTGTCTGCTACGACACTGAGCATTCCTGAACAGTCCCACGTGTTCGCCGTGGCCACCTTCACACCTCAGGCCATGCAGCTCTACAGTGCTGTGTTCGAGGCCACGATGGACGTAACCAGCAGGTACATGAGTTACAACTGTGTATGCTTCTTCTCTTTGCTATTTGTTTTTTATTCAACTTTGTTTATTGGGTTTTGCAATAGCATACAGTTGTTACATCAGAGGTCATCAAAAGTAAGAATTCTAAAATTCACTGTGAAAGACAATTTAAAAAAGCAACATTTGAAATATTGCTACAAACCGGAGCTATTAAAATGACACACAAAAGAAAAACAGACAGACAAACAAATAATAATATACAAAAAGAACTGTGTCTCTATGCTGTTAGAATTGCATTGCTGACCACAGCCAGGGTTCCTACATTATACATAGTCTGGAAAGTATAGAATTTGACACATTTCCCGGTCTTGAAAAGAGAGTATGTAAATGATATGTCTTTTATGACTATATGGTCTATTTGTTTCCTGTATAGTTGTTTGAATATCACCTCTGAATGTAGAGATTTTTCCAATTTAAGTCAATGGTAAAACATATTTTTGGGGGTGAAATGGCGTCACAGACTGACACTGAAGTTGTAGTATTAACATTCGGCCACTTGAAATAGTTGCTTTAACACCGCCTTACTTCCTAGGGGCTTGTAAATGCTACAGTACCAAGTACATAGTCATAATGTAAAGTACTTGTTACCATTATATTTAAACACTATTTAATAACACGATACTAATCAAGCTGTTAAATCTCAGATGTTAAGTATGGTCTGAAACATCCACTAAGAAATCTGGAAATTTGCCCACCCATTTTTCTCTCTATTGGATCCAGAATGACACCTACATTCAAGAGCAAGGTGCTGGAGTTTGACCTCATGGGAGAGGGCAATATGCCCAGTGTGTGTGTGGTGCGTCCGGCTCTAAGGACTAGCAGAGGGAGCCCGAGGCTGCGGTTCACACGAGTATCAGCAGGGCGGCAACATACCCGGCCCCTGGTGCTGCTCAATGACGGAAATGTTCCAGCACAGGTGGGAAAAGGCCTATTCCTTTTATTTTATTATAGATTCAATCATGACATAAGGGTGGATTTTCGTCACCATAGGTGCTTTGTTGCCCTGTGTGTTGTGTAGGTACAGATTGACATGCTGGATAAACATGGAGTGTTCACCCTCAAAGCTGCTCCTGGCAACACTTGCAGCTCCATCTACTGCTCACAGATTAAAGGCACTACCAAGTCAGGTACAACCCTAATGTGTAAAACTCCTCTAAACATTGAACATTCAGAAATGTGCACAACAGACACTGTTGGAGGAAAAAGTATTGCACTGAGCCAGTTCAGAAAATCGTGACCACCTCACAAGCACTTTAACTCAAACACTTATGAGCCGAGTCTTCAAAAGAAATCCAGAGCGCTGTGCAATGGAACCAGTCTGTCGTTGTAATGCACTCTTATACTCTACAAACTCATGTCCCATTGGTTGGAATTTTGGGGGAGGGAATTCCTTCCCCAATTTCCCCTAAAAATAGCTTTTGCTAGCACCTTCTAATGGTGTCGCGTTCAGTATTGCATTGCCTTTTTTGCTGACTCCACAGACCCTCAGTTCACTACTCCGGTTATTTCTGAAACCTAAAGAGGTTCCCATAGACCAACTGTCTCCTGATTTGATTATTTATAGAAACTCAGGGAGTCTGTTTCTTCCCTATAAGGCTTGTTTCGACACCCCTATTTCTGGCTGATCTCTAGGCCTTATTTTTTACAATACACTCAATGTCTAGTTTTAAAATTAAGCATTATATTGAATACATTTTGTATATACTTCTACCACATTTTATTAATAATACGGCATACAATTGTCCAGTACAACAAACAACCACTCTATTTAAATTATATTTATATCGCCCAGTATCGAATGACGGCAGATGCTGAGTAAGTAACATGTATTTATGGGACGTGGTGCCAAGCCATAGAGAGGACATGAGTGCATAAAGACAAGAGAAAGAGAATTAGGATATGAGATGTGAAAAATAAAAGCTGAAAAGTGTAGGTACCCCGACAGTATAAGTTTACAGGAGCATAATTAAAGGCTGGTTCAAGACAAGCCTGAGCCAGCCCTAACTACAGTATAAGCTTTATCACCAACAAACAAGCAACACTTTTTCACTAGGAGTGCACTAGGAGATATTTAGAGCTATTAATACCTACAGTATGTCTAGTGTTGCTATGTCCTTCTTCAGTCCACTGACATAGCATTTTGATTGGATTCACCAATAAGAGTATTCCCCTGTTTGGCATTGCAAACTGTATAATATTAATGGACAGTTCCATCAAAACACTTTAGCACAACCAGAGGTATCATTTTTCTATGACACTAATGTGTCTTCCTTGTAAGTGCTAACAATAATATATAGTACATTAATTATACTAAGAAATTGCTCTAAAGGAAGCCACCGTTTTGTATGTGTTCATGATTTTAAAACATTGTTGTGTGCATTGCATTGACAAACAGGATCACGCCAACCCTAAGCAATGAGGTTTGGTGCAATGTGTCGTTTGTCACATTTTGATGTTAATTCATTAATAATTCTCCACCAACAGTGCAGCAGGTGTACAAAACATCAACATTACATTTAATAATGAAAGTACTGAAAACAAGTACTGTAAGTGATGTAATAATTGGGTTTACAATCATTATAACAAGATAAAAATAAACGTACTTATGACTCCATGTGTTCCTCCTGATAATATACATCGGTACTTTTGTTCTTGCGCTAAAATTCGTGTTTTCTGAGCTCTACATACAGAACATGTAGGCTTCTCTCCTATGCTACAGACGGTCATCGCAATATTTGTCACTGGTGACACTTCTTTCCCCTCCACAGAGCATCAGCTGGTGCACAGAGCCACCCTGAGGCTTAATGTTAGAGAGCAGGCAGAGTTTGAAGTCGGCTTCTGCTCCGACAATCCCCTAATTGTCAAGGCCAAGATATCACTGCATGTGGAGGACAACAAGTACAGCAATACCACAATACAAATAACTGGAGAAGCTTACCAGGAAATCATCTCTCTTGACAACATCAGCAGCTCATCGCAGGAAATAGAGGAAGATGATGAGGGAGGTAAGAGAAGAAAGGAGGATGAGAGAAAAAGTGATTTATTAGCATTGAAGCTAGTTCCTTATCCCATATGTTTTTACCAAGTCTATTTCTCTCCCACAGGTGTTATGCATTTTGGTGACTGCCATGTAGATAGTCCCTACCAAGAGAGCTTCACCATGAGCAACCACAGCAGCAGCCAGGCAGTGAGGTTCGAGTGGCCTCCTGCAGAATCGCACATCTGCTTTTCACCACAGGTAAAGCATTGCAGGAAGGAATCCAGCTGTGTACAGGAGTTGGTTTAAATCCACAGGAGGGGAAACATCACGATCTTCCGCCAATCTCATTCATTCCACCACGGCTTTCCCCGTGTACCTCTTTATGTTTGTCCGCCATTCTTTTATTGTCCTTCCTGCACTTTCTTTTACTTCAACTGCACCATGCATGATGCTCTTGGCTAAGGAGCCGTTCTTGTTAAGTGTAACTAGTGGCGTGATGAAGCCAATAATCTACATCCTTTTTCGGAGAGGGCGAGGGCAATGTAAAAAAAAAAGTTACAAGATCTTCTGTATGAGAGCCCCGAGATTATTTTACACATATTTGCTTCGTTCAGACGCAAGACTTTCACACAAATGCGCTCTCTTTCTTCCTCCCTCTGTCTCTCTCAAGCACACACTCACAAGGTCTTGCATAACAACTGTTATGTGCAGAACATTGCATACAATAGTCCACCTTCTCTTCCTTTCCCCCTCTAACACACACTCCAATCTCCAGGACAAAAAATCACTGTAAGTTTCGCCGTCTAGCAGTTTCCATCAGCGATTCAAAAAACCCTCCCAGTCTTTATATCTCCTGTTTCACAGAGTTCTTTGTTCAGTGTACAGCATTTGAAATGTCAGCCGAGCTTAAGTGTTTGGTACTTTTTTCCAAACACTTAACCTGATTTGCAGATAAGCGCACTACACACCTGAGCCACAGCCGTCCCCCTTATTTTATATAGTTTCCAAAGCTGATAGTTAGCAATAGCCAATCTCCATATATACATACTATAATGTCCATGCTGTCTCCATACATTTGGTACTGCGCTACTGTACATCCTCCCTGGATCCGGCTACGAGGTCTATGTCATCCGCAAATCTGTTATACTTCATCCGCCAACTTTGATGGTACCAGTGAAAACGTTGCATTCGATTTAAGATAACACCTCGCTGCATGTGATCAAAATCAATCCGCTTCTTCTTACAGGTTGGACACCTGCATGCTGGTTGTTCTAAGGAAGTGGTGGTCACCTTTTGCTCCAATCAGCCAGTGACTCTGACCAGCCAGCCAATGAGATGCAAGGTTAGTCAGGTGGAGTTCCAGCAGCCGCTAGAGAAGGTGGCTGACTGGGACGACCGACAGAGGACGGTGCAGTGGCTGAGTTCTTCCAGGCCGGCTTCAGCATCTCCCCAGCAGACTGGGAAGAATAAGGTCAATATGCTGATTGTAAAATAGATGTTGAAGAGAACGTTCACATTTATAGTTGAGAAAACATGCATATTATTGCCCGCAGGTGAAAAAGACAGATCCTGAGCCTTGCTGCTCTGTAGTGGAGGGGTCCCAGTTGGAGTTGGAATTACGTATCAGCGCAGTTTGTGACTATGTGAAGTTCAGCAGCAACGCCGACACCATCCACTTCAAAGACACCATGCTGTACCAAACCAGGCTCCACCAGTAAGTCAAGCTGTGGGGGGGAAACAGAGGTGTATGAATATACATTTAAATGTATCTATCCACAAAATATCTTTCAATGCACAAATAATTATCGTTTTATACAAATTAAAAAAGAATCCACATATATAGAAATAAGTTTCATGAATATTGTAGATCCACACATAAATATGTATTGATTTGTATAAATGTAATATAAATCAACCATATGTATTTAAAAGTGTTTGCAATTTGTATCTAACCCTAACCCTTTCATGTTGTGAACTCTGCATTCGTGTGGGTTTTGTGAGACTCCCCTAATGTTGCTCGCTTCACAAAGGCATTCGTTTGAACAGGAAAACATCCGTAGCCAATTATATGTCTCCCTCATTTGCAGCCAATCACATGAGTGAAACCCCACGAGGGCATGATTTTTATGTGAGGTCAACTTCAACATACACTGAAAAAAAATGCTGTTGGTTACACATATTAAAAACATTATGTTAAAAACACACAACTATTTTAAGTCAAAGAAACATGAAATGTTTATGTTCATTTGAATATTTCCTTTAATATTAGGTATATTCATTTACCCTATGTTTAACCAACATGACTTTTTAATGTTCATTTTAGGCTTTTAATATGCTTAGTGTATTTCATTTGTACCTGTTAAAGCAACATGATTTCTTTATTTAAGCTTCACTGTAAAAAGTCTGTTGGATTTACATAAAAAAAGATATGTACATTGGTTGCACATATTAAAATCATGTGTACTTTTAATTTGTACCTGTTAAAGCCACATTAATGTTTTGTTTAAACTACATGCTATAGTTTTCTGTTTAATACCTAGCCTGCTCAAGGTAAAGATTATTTATTTGATGTAAATAGAGGCATTTCATACATTCTTCTAATCAGTACAGGATCCATCCTAATCTCTTATCTACAGCATTTATCATAACATTTTTTTTTAAATAGTCAATAAAGACAAACACATTTCTTTGAACAACATTCATGTATTCTTCTCAAAAAATAAAACAATAGTAACAACCAACTACACATCCAGATGAGCTTTTGTTTTTTCCATCATGCAGCCTAAACTCTGCCAGGAGAATTAACAAATACATTGAAAATAAAGAAATAGAATAAATAAAAAACGTGTGTGATGCATGTATACATTATTGTGTTAGAGAACACAGCAAGGAAGCTTAAAGGAAACTATTCTCTATTCCCCCAAAAATAAAGGTTTATTGTGCCAGATGGCAAAAAAATGCTTATTTTTGTAACCATTATATTTCATAGTAAACAATTAACAAAAAAATGAAATGTTCTTGCAAATCCATTATTTAAATAGTAATCTGCTAATATGAAAGGGCACTGCTTTGTAAAAATACATGAAAGTATAATAATGGCCTGGTTTCTCATTACAAATGCAGTAAAGAAAGTATTACAAATAAAAACACCCCAACAGTCTAATGTGGGGGAAGAACTGACATTTTGAAGTAGCGCAATTAGATAAAGACACTTCTGCAAATCTGACATCGCACTTTGATGCAAGTGGTACATTCTGAAACACATGACCCCAGGAAAAACACACACTTCTGAAACGTGCAAATAAATACAGCAAAAAGCATGAACAAAGGAATTAAGTGCAAGACAGTTGTATCGATGAAAGTCCAGTATAAATGCTGTAAACGTGCACAAAGGTCCATGGCAACAGCTCACTCAAATAGTCTGTTTTTAAACGCTTGGACTTTCTTGGAAAGCATGTTGCCGTCTAGCTCCATTAAAATGTTCTGGAGCACTTGGAACGTGCACTTCAGTTTAGGGGGGTAGTTCAGGTTCATTACATACATTAGTCCAAATAACATGGTAGCAGCTAATGCAATGTTGTCCACATCAGTAAGTACCTGTTGGCCTTCCAGGACAATCCCAATGTCCTCTGGTCTCATATTCAGGGTATGTGCATCGCTGCTAAAATGGTCATTAATATCCTCCACTCCAGTGGCGGTTCTAGCTGATATAGCCCCTTCTTTCCTTTTCTTTCTAAACTGGGCACCTGATGCCTTGTGCCTTTTTTTCTCCATCACCGTAGGTACACATTTTCGACCCGAGAATCAATGCATAGCGTACCCCTCCCCCAACACTGTCAACTACAGGTCAAGACTATACCAATTTGCCGTAGTTGTTTTTTAAATAATTATTTATTGTTTCATACAACCCAGGCCAAGAAAAAAATATATCTGCAAAACTATTTATATTGTATGAATGATTTTGGTGGCATTTCGAGGCGTGAGATTAATTGTACTAATTGCAGTACTACTTTATAAACATCGAAAGTGTTTATTTGATAGAGATAGTTTACCCGCCGCCCCCCTCTCTCTCTCTCCATAGTGAGGCGACCTGAGATCACCCCCGCCCTTCTTTGAGTCTGTATCCCAGCTGCCTGCTGTCATAAGGGCCGCCGCGCCCCCTTCGACCCACAACAACAATACACTATAAGACATTTCGTGCAAATTGGCGCTTGTGCCGCCCCCAGTCAAAATGCCGCCCTGGGCAACCGCCCATGTCGCTCATATCAATATCCGCCACTGCTCCACTCTCTTGTATTAAGTGTCGCTATCCGGGACACACCCCCACACACAATACACACACAGAGCGGATCAAAGCCGAGACATAAACGTAGTTTTTTAGGGATCCCAGGACAATATTGTAATATCTTTAACAACCAACACCTTAAATGGGTAAAGATGGTCGCCTAGAAATGTAAGGTACGACCTGCCTCAGCGCCCTTAAAAGTCGGCACAAGAGTAGACAGACATCCAGAGCCGGACTGAAGCGGTAAAATGTGTTCAGCAGACATTAAACAATCATTTAAAGGGGACCTATCATGCAAAATGCACTTTTGTACGTCTTTTATACATGAATATGTGTCCCCGGTGTTCCAGGGAACTCACCAAGTGTCAGAAAACACAACCCTCTCTATTTTCCTCCATACCCAAATCTCTAAAAAAGGGGCTGCAACGGATCTGATAAAAAACTGATCCAGATTTGAACACTGTCCTGACATCAGGACAGTGGCGCTACGGCTATTGGGCCAACTCCACCAATCAGGAGGAGACAGCCACGGCCATTGCCGTTCGAAAGCGCTGGAGATGCTGTAGTACATATGCCAGGCCTGTAGGTGGTGCTGTTCTCACTGAATCTGCCCTTGCTAAAACAGAGCTAGAAATTGTCAAATTGAGCAAAATGAGGCATGGCTAAAATGCATGATCTGTTTGGTATTTTGAAAAAAAAAAAGTATAAATATGCCTTATATAGGTATGGTCCTACACTATATTATTCAAATATAGCATGATAGGTCCACTTTAAAACAACAAGTACCACGGCGCGAACATGCCGCAAGCTCGTCGACCGGCTATGACTCCCCCCCCTCCCCCTCCTCACTGAACTCGGCTAAATGTGCATAGCTAACTTTGGGAAAGGTTCAACGTTTTAAATATTGTAAAGCAAGCAACTGCCGGACTTACGCCCTACAAATACTCACACTATAAAAACACGCTATATGCAAACAAGTCAATAAATATAAATTCACCTAATGATTTTCATGGCTTTATCCTAGCTAACACCAGTGAATGACAATGTTTACAAATTGACAGCTGTATTACCGTTGCTCGGTGTAACGGGCAAATGTGAACTCAGCTTTTTGCAAACAATGCGTCTAAAGTGATAACCTCTAACTATGACAAACATTTGATGACATTTAATAACTTTTAATAACTTTTACCTTGTAGAGATCTCCCCGGAACAGAACCAGCTTACTCCTCCGATGCGGGAAAAAAGATGGTGGACCCCCCCCGCCCTTTGTTTAAAAAAAAAAAGCTTCAACATGCTCAAATAAAAATGTTTTTGCAATTTGTTCTGCTTTTCATCTTGTCCATGAAAGTGCCATATTGTTCAAGTTCAATTACGAAACGATTAAAGTATGGTTTTGAGTCCGACCATTTTGATTTGTGAATACAATATTTGTCAATAATAATTAGAAGCTGAATAATTGGCTGCAGAGCAAGCTGCTGACGTATGTGCTCAGTGGGCGGAGTTACAGAGATAAACATCACTTTTTTCTTATTTCTTAACATGACTGAGACTTATAGAATGCACATCCCTCAAGATTAAAATAGTTCTACATGATTGATTGATTGATGTTTAGATGAGAAACATGAATACATTCTGTCTCATATATTAACTGCATATTTGTCAATTGAACAACCCCACTTTTCCCTGTTTTTCAGTGTAGCGTCTGGTGGTGCCACTCCCGTATGGGGTCAGAAACGATATATAATCAAGATGAACTATGGACTCACACAAGATCTCATGTTGCATGTCTTCCCATCTTTCTGACTGTGGTTAAAAAAAACTAAAAAAAGAAACAGCCACTTATTACATTAAAAATTGCTTTGATGATTCATATATTTTCCGAACAGTAATTGATTAGTTGAGTAATTGTTGAATCTCTAATCCCAAATGTGACGTTAAATTCTTTGTTTGTGTGCGTCTCTGCAGACTACAGATAGTGAATCACGGCACTGTGAAATTGGAATTCTCCTGGCAAGTCATCAGGGATCAGAATAACAACATTTTAAACCATGAACAAAGAGGTACTCATACTTTTTGTTATTGTATATTCTGAAGTCTACATTATATATGACCGCAAAAACTGTGTTTGCTGTACCATTATCTTCAAAGATTGAATTTAACATACTTAATAACATTTCCATGCATGCCAGAATGAAGTTTGGGACTGTGTGTGCTGTAAATGTGAACATTAGTCGGTGTGTTCTATAACAGATGGGACCCCGAGCCCCCGACCAGGCAACAGGTCAGCCATGTTAAGTGAAGCCCGTCCCTCCAGCGCTCTGGCCAGCGTCCTGACAGGGAATCCTGAGCTTCCTCCCTTCAGCGTCGAGCCCGGCATCGGGGCCATAGAGCCCGGGGAGATGCAAAGTTTCAGCATCCGCTTCTCCCCTCTGGAGGTGGCCCAGTTTCAGGGCAGGATTATCTGCAGGTACAGTAAATACTTCTAAATGTAGTGACACAAATAATACACGTTGTATCCCGTAACTGGGAAGAAGGGAATTTATTTTATACTTTTATTTATTTTGTAATCATAGTGCAGGTGAGGACAGGGACAATAAAGCACAAGCAGTGAAAGTACAAAATTATAAAAAAGCACAGGTACAGTTCACAATCCTTATAAAAGAGGTCTGACAGAAAATAGTACTTTATTAAGACATTTATAACAACCCCATGTTCTCAATATCAAAGAAGAGCAATGGAGGGAAAGTTCCTGTTGAGTCAGCATTTTGTTTTTTACTTGCGGCCATAGTAACCCTTAAAAAGGTACGTATCAGTTGTATTGAGTACTTTAGTGATATTTACCAGGTACAAACATATAAAAGACATGTCAGGTGT